AGAGTCAAACTACACAGCAGCTGGTCGTGTAGAATCCAAATTTCCAAAATCCTCAACCAAACCTGTCCTCTGATGTAATTTATACTTTTATTTGCTGCCTTGCTCAAGTGCTCAGACTGAGTCGACCACTACCATCCTTCTTTTGGCCCCTGTAGAGTATTTAAAATACTGCTGTATTCCAGTGACCTTCTGTGGCTGTTTGCACAGCCCTGAGCCCTACAGGCTGTTTGGCTCACAGCTTAGTATTCATATCATTCCTGGACTGTTTACGGTGGAATTAATGGTCTGTTCTGTTGTCTCCCATCAAACCGCTGCGGCAAGTTTTAGACGGAACAGACAGCAACTTACACGGCGTCCTTATGAGCGGAAAGAAAAACAGAGCAAAATACCATCGTGTTTACTGGGCTGCTACGCCCGGAGCGAAAGGCCGCGGAGTCAGAACTTCTCAGTGTCTGGTTAAATTCTTTAAAGGACACAACGCTGCACTGGGAAGCCAAGTTCAGACCGTGACCTGGCAAGCTCTGAGAAGACAAACATAACAGTGCATAGAAGGGATGTAACAATGGCTGGTTGAGGGGGGGGGGAAAGAGCAGTTAAATGGAATATAAACAAGCTAACCGGAGGCTTAGATGAAATAAACGGTGGCTAAATTAAATATAACAGGGACTTAATAGAATAAAGACTTTAATAGGAGTGTATACTGTTGAATAAAAAGAGGAAATATGGAATAAGAAGTGGCAGAATACAAAGACTGCATATTATAATATGCACTGTGCATGCATCCTGTAATGAGCTCATCTATTGTCCCAAATTCATAAGAAAAAACAAGCTGCTATGTTATCTGTCTCTCAGGAGCTTTTGAATACAGGTCGCTGATGTCAGGCTGATTATACCATTCTTCTCATGTTCAAAGATGTGCATGGAATGTTTTGAATAAGGCCTTAGGTCATACTCTGGTGTAGGTCTAAAAAATGTCATCGCAATAAAAGCAGTTCCTGCACAGCACCGTTTAGTTAGCAATTTTGCTTGATTGTTGGCGGTATTATTTGTTTTAGAATTCTTACAATGACTACATTATCATTTTCTAATTGAGTGACAGGATAATAGAGGTACAGTTCCAGCAGTGTGAAAGCAGGGAAGAGCTGTAGGGCGACTGCCCGAGCCTCCTGACCACCACCGCGCTGAATGCGGGCCATTGTTGCGAGTTTGTAAAAAGCTATGGAGCCACCAGACCATGTAACACTCGCTGCTCAGCCCCCAGTAGTGGCCTAGATACCGGGGCACTGCATGCACTAGTTTGATGCTCTTCTTCATCTGCTGTTGTGGAGTTTCCGCCCTGCGGGAGACTTTCATGTGTCATTTGGCTTTCGCTCAAACAGGAATTACAGCCCTTTTACAACGTCGCTGGAGGTAAATCCTTCTCACGCTGCGTCTGAATTGTCCCCCGCGGTCAATAAGAGACGCAGTAACAACAAGCAGCCATGCAGCCGTTGAACACAGGGTTGAGCTAGCGGGTCAGTTTAGGAGTTGCTGATCACAGAGAAATGTGATGATGCTGCACAGCAGCACTCGTCTGCACAAAGTGAACAGCTGAGTTGATAAACGGCTTTTTAAAGGGCAACAGCTGCCTGAAAATTACCTTCCAATATTTTGGAAAGAACCGTGGATAAGTACATCCATTTACATTTTAGTATTTTAGTCATCGTTCTACTTTTTGTGCCAGTAATCAGTTTCAAAATCACATTTTGGAAGAGACTCCTCAATTTGTCAGTAAGTGTAAGTTGGTAAAAGTTATATTTTATTCATTTTAAGCCTAAACTTTAAATCTTCTCTTGCCTGCTGTCATATATTTTTTTCTCTCATATACGCGAGTTTTATGGCATTGCTTATAAAAAGCTATTCACTGAAATACCTCTCTATCAAATGTGATATAAAAATATTGAATCTAAGGTGAAATAAAGGTGCCACTGCGGGGGGGAAGTCTGTCTTTATCTGCAACGGCTGACATGTTTCCTGTTGCCTTTAATCAGACGCACTCAACAGCAGCGCTCATCTATTTTCTATTATTCAGCTCCGGCATGCCGTGCTTGCCACCTCGAGTTTGTTGTTTGTTTGATCATTTTCTGTTCCTACACAAATGTGTATTTTTCTTCCTCTTCTGTCGGTTTTATCTCCGGATATAATTTCACCACTTCTCAAAACAACACATCTGAACTACGACCAAGCAACCCGTACCGAACTCAAACCTAACTGAACTAAGCAAAGGTGAAGAGTCGTGTACTGCACAGCTCGTCAGAGAGCGCTCGCCGTTCTTCTCAAAGAGTCTTTGTTTGGCTGCAGATTCCAGTGACCTTGCATCGACACTGGGAGGGAGGGAGGAGGGAGGGAGAGACAAAGAAAAAAAAGAGGGAGGTGGATACAAGGAGAGAGACTGAGAGAAAAGGGAGAGAGAGAGAGAGAGAGAGGGAGCTGAGGGCAAAAGAGGAGACGGGGGGGGAAGAGAAAAATATAAATAAAGCATCAGAGATAGAAGTGAGAGAGGGAAACAAAACTAAAGTCTGAGAGGTGTAGTGAAAGAGACGTAGATGAAAACAGACGAGCCAAAGCGGAAAGACAAATGAGAAAAGGCTGGATAGGAACGAATGGACGTTTTGGCAATAAAGACACAGACAACCAGAGACAGACAGAGAGCGATGGAAGGTGTGTGTGAGTGTGAATCTGTGAGTAAAAGAAAAAGTCTGAAAGTGCGTTCTTGTGTGTGAGAGTGAGACAGAGAGAGAGAGAGACAGAGAGACAAGTGTTGGACAAAAGGCTTTTGTTGTGGAAGTGGCCATTTTGAATCTTCCTCTGGTTCCGGATGGCTCCACTTCACTGTGTCCCAGCCTCGTTGTTTGGTCTACTTTTCTCATTAAGTCTCCACTTACACGATGACAGCGTTTACTCTGCGTCGGCCTCCTCACTATTTATGGCAAACATCATTACGGTTCCTCCAGACGGGGAGCAGCGCGATGCCACACAGATGAAGAGAGTTTCCCCTCTCGAGGGCAGCACATGGAGCTCCAACATATTTGTAATTTGTGCTGATTTTAAATGCCTGTTAACTACAAAAAAACACTTGATATGTGCCAAGCATTTATCAACAGACTGATTAGACAGTTCTTCTAATGAAAAGACGCTCTGACATCCAGGTTTTGACTGTTGAATACTTGATTCTGATTGGTCAATTATGGGATTCTACGGTTAGTATAGAGCGCCTCAGAGATGACGTATTATTGTGGGCCAACAGGAAGTTAGCATCGCACTGGTTCCCTCTATTACTTTTAGGATTTTTGAAGCGTAAGCGCCATCGCCATGAGTAAAAAGCTGACGTTATGCTATAAACAAACTACACCACGGTTGCATGAACGGACGTATCCACAACGCATTTGTAAAGGCGGGCGTGACACGCTCACTGTATGTTATCCCTTTATTACATTGTAAATTAAATCTCTTGGATAGATGGACAACACTGCTTGGATAAAAGATACACGTTGACTGAGACGGTGGGTTTTTTTAGGCAAACTTTCGAGAAATAAAGTAAGAATAAGTTATGAAAAGAATAACAGCATGAGGTCCATTGGCTCTTATCTGGTTCCACCTCATCAGGTGTCTAATATTGTGTGCATTCAGTGTATGAAGACACTGAACAATCCCTAATGTGACAAAATGTGTGCAGCATAATGCAGGTTAGATTAACAGGATTATATTCACAGAGGGACACACACGCACCATCTTCTTCATCCCTTCAGACTATGAATGGGGCATAACCTCACTTTGCATGCACTGTCGGCACACACACATGCATACAAACTGCTGTGCAACACCTATACAGAAACATAAACAGGCCGCATGTCTTATTATACAGTGAGTCACAACGCCCGGATTCATCGCCATTGATCTAAACCTTCCCGGTAGCCTCTGAGTCAGTCCTTTCTGCGAGTCATCTAACATCATTCATAAAGCTGCTTATTCCACTGAAGCGTTCCTAAAAATGAGATTCACCGTGTTATACAACTGTACCGTCTAGAGTTTGGATGCCTCACAACTCCAGCGAACAGAAGCTTCGTGGACCATCTGTTCTGAAGTTAATCACCCGGCGAACCCCAATCACGCTCACATCAACGCAGCAATGAATACAAACTTAGACACACTACGCTGGCTGTGATACGCTGGGCTGAAGATTCAGCTGGGATGAGTGTGAGTCATGGAAAGGGCTTAATACTATGGGCCGTCTCTCCCTTGATGTTGCTCAAGCTAATTAAGCCTCGTACCGATCTACTCAGGTCTGTTTGAAGTCTGCGAGAGGCTCGCTTTAATGGTCTGCTTTATGCAATTCTGTGTTTTCACATTCAATTTGAACATGTTTACAACCCAGGGACCTCAGATAATACAGACCAGAGCTCAGTGTAGAGACACCTACATCCCCTGCTATGAGTGGATTTACTTTAGAGAACGTCGTCCTGAAAGTCATCTATTGTCTTGAAAATGCAGACAATACCACCGTCTGCTGACAAATAGACATAATATTGATAAACATCATCATTTTGTGCTAACAGTTAAGAGTATGTGTGATCTTCTTTTCTGCTTTTATTGTGCTGTATCCCACTCTAATAGAAATATGCTTGTCCAACAGTACATTGTTATGCCATCATGAAAGGGACACATTTCAAATATGTGTTGATCATCACACATAACTGTGATTACAAGAGCGGTAGAGCTGACTGTCGAGGACATTAAGCTCATTCCACAGGTGCACTCGCTCAGAGGAAGCTGAGAGAGAAAATGTTAAAAAAGTAGATGTGGTGGTGCACACTGCCCCCTACTGTTGACGGCATGTCATCACTCTCAAAACTCCCCCCTGGGCTACTGGGATGACTGATGTGGGAGCAGCGGGGTCACTCGGTGGCACAGATGGAGACGTAAAGGTTAACGGTGTCTCTGTGTGCTCGTCATGTGTTCAGGATCGGAGTGCTGTGTGCATACGCTGCCAACCAGAACCTGAGCTCTCAGGTGAAGAACATACGGAGGCTGGTCAACAGCAACATGAGGGACCTGCACACCTTCGCTAACGACACGCCAATGGTGAGAAGAACCAGAGTCGTTCACTCTTTGTAGCCCAAAACACGACGTTAAAGTATGGAAATTCAGATAATGTGCTGTCAATACAAATGGAATCATTATATCGTGTAAATATCCTACAAATTCTATAAAACAAACCTCAAATAGACAGCAAATCATTTTCTGATTATAGGAAGAGATAGCTACTAGTTATGGACATTTTAGCGAATGTAAAGATGTGGGGAAAGCATGAAAAAAGGGTTCAGTCATGGTTGAATGAAAAGCTCAAATTCATGTGGGATTCATGTGGGAAAAGAGAGAATCTTCTATCATTCCATTCAATTTCAGGAGCCCAGGTTTTAACTCTCACTTTACTTTACTGAGAACAAACTGTTTGTGAAGACTGATGTTATATTTTGTCATTTTCTCCATTACATTTTGAGGAACACCATGAAACTGTGCTGTACTACGACAAGACGAATATACTGATTTTCATCTGCTTCTGTTTGCTTCTCTTTGCTCGGCTCTGTTGTGTTTCCTGTTTGCAGCAAATTGATTACCTAATATCCCAATACGCCACCGCCAAGAACAAAGTCATCTACGACCTAGATAGTAAGTAGACCTCCTCTGTGCCTCTGATAGTGAAGTAAGTGGACAGAAACGATTCACTGGGTTCCTGCTGTTGGTCGTATATCATGCTTATTATCTGAATTCACTGGGTCTACTTTTCCTCGACTTGTTTTGACAACACATTTGTGACATAACTGGGTCTAGATAGCTACAGCCGTGACTGTTATAGAGGATCCCTTGTGTATTCATCCTACTTTTGAGTAAGCGCTGCAGGCAGCTCTTTCCTGAACGTTAAACACCTGCAGAAGCAGCAAACACAATAAAGAAAGGGATCTGATGCTGTGTTCTCTACAGATATAGGTCCATTATTGGGTGGAAGGATACACGATCAGTTGGATAAGGAGGTCCGTCCTGCCTTGGACAGAGTGCTCAATATGGCTGGAGGTACGTCTGCGTATTTCTTTTCATTTCCTCTTCAGATACGATATGATCAGGTTATTGTAAGCTGCTACTGAACGCAGGTTACAGGAGTTAATAAAAGCTGTGAGTTGTAATTATCATTCAGATTATTTTTTTAACCTTTATATTCTATGCTTTCTTTGTGAAGTGAAAATCGAGAGAGCCATCAAAGGTAACGGTACCTCAGTAACTGCACACCGGTCCCTCAATCCTTTGACCCCTAATCTGTTCCCTTGTGATCTTCCCTGAGTACTTGGACCTATCCGAGCATCTTAAATGAACAACAACCAATCAATGTATTAAAACTGCACTGCGCAACGTCTGACTCTGGTGACAGACTTTGTGTGACGAACCTGACGACACAGAATTTAAGTGTTCACCTGCTAACTTTTAGGATAAATGTTTTCTTACAGTTTCTTAATGCACCACCTGCAGAATGCACAGATGGGTTTCTGCTAGTGCTGTCACCAGATGCATTGTTTTTATGGGCAAACAGAAAAATAAACAGAGTTTTCTACAGATATGATTTTCTTTCCATGAAAGAAAATCTTGCCGAGTGCAATTTTAAGTTAACCAGATGTTGCCAAACCCCAATGTAACATCAGCCTGCACCTGGACATCTCCCTGTTTCTCCACGTGTGTTTTCCTTCTGTGAAGTGAGCGTAAACGTGTGTTCTTTTGTGACCAATCATATTACAAATTACAGCACACTCGCATGTAAGTCAACGATTTGAATATTTCACGATGTAGGTATCATCTTTTTTTGAGTTGCTTTATGTAATTCAACAAGCAGCTGTATATGGATGTAACACTACATGGAATATACAGTTCAGGTGGTTAAACTGCTTGAGCACAGATGAGTGTGAATACAGTTTGTGTTCTTAATGTGTGTGTACTATTGTGTTCCTACTGGGGCTGAGCTGAGCAGCCAGAGGATCTTATCATCCCGTACGAATACTGTTTCATCAGATACTAAAGATACAGGAGATTCATAATAAGAAAAAACATCCATCCCGGTTTAACTCCCTCCAGTACGGCTAAGAGTTTAGTTTCCTCTCCTACTCTCTTGCATCTTTTATATGTTCAAGGATGCCAGTGTTTCTACATTCTTTATCCTGTTTAATGTTAAATGGCTGCTGCAGGCTACTCCGTGATCGTTAACTAACCGTGGCTGTTCACTTGGGATGCATTCAAATGCTTGGGAACGAGTTAGCTACTGACAGCGACCGTCTTTAAGAGAAGAAGCAAAGTCAAGAGTCCAATTTCAGATGCAGCAGAACAGTGGATCTGAGCCTCTGTGTGATAAACTCGGCTCAGTCCCGGTCCGGACAAAGAGTGCAAACTTTGTTTCATGTATGAGTGCTTTTGTGTAACATGAGCCACTGTCATGCAGACTGTCTCTTGCTGTGGATGTTGATATTAAAAGCCAATTTATTTTGTTAAATTGTAAAACAGAAATGTATTTGAAAGTTGTATTTGCCCCAGAAACATTGTCAAAAAAGTTATTTTACTGCTCTGAATAGGAGAGTGCATTTATATACTTCCTGTTTTAACAATTCCACATGATTTCCCAGGACAGAACTAAAAGATTTAAATTAAATATTCATTATTCATTTTGCAGCAAAGCTACGCAGTCTGAGGCTCACGGGGGGAAAAAACGTCTTTCCGTACAACTCATTCAATATACATTCTACCTCAAAATATAGGTTAGCTAATGAGAAAAGTTGATTTATTGTTCAATGTAGTGGAGTAGGTAAGACTGCTCGACCTAAATTAAATGTTGCAAGAACAAGTTTACAACAGAAACAATGGAAATTGTCTCACTCCATTGTTCTACTTTTTCAGAAGGAAAATTGTGTTCCGAGAGAGTTTTCATGGTTTTTCCCTCATGATGAACACACGTTCAATCTCATCTCTGCTCTCTTTCAATTCAGCCATGCGAGAAACCAAGGAGGCCCTTGAGAACGTCAATGTGGGTCTGGAGGTCCTCCAGGAAGGAGCGGGGAAGCTCAACTTCAACTTGAGTCTGGTCCGGACCAGTATCAACCGGACCCTCAACGACCGGGGCTGCCACGACGAGGAGTCAGACGCCACATCTGCCCAGCTGTGCCGCAACATCCGCCAGTCACTGTCCCAGCTGCAGATCGGCGCCAACTATACACGGGTACGAAACTGAATGCAAATGGGATTCAAGTTCACTTACATGTGTCCCAATTTTTACTACATGACTGCTGAACTACTGAAATCTAGCTCCTTTATGAAGACGACGTTCTCAGCTGCTTATCTGATAACTTAGTAATACGTACTGAATCGTTTAGGGTGCACCAAAACACTGACATGGCATTGCTGAATGTTTATCAATGTTTCATTGTCTGTTCACATTTTAGCTACCCAAGGTGAATGCTCAGCTGAAAAAGATGAACGACGTTTTGAGAACAGACCTCAGTGCTATCGTCCAGATGGTGAGCGCCAGAACTATAAATCTATACATCATATCTAATAGGAGATATTTAATGTGCTCGTGTCACCCATTTCATTCAAATTAAGAAAAATCACCCTACAAATGGACCCAGAAACTCCATGTCCCAACACTTTGTCCTTTTCTTCTCACAGGGCTACGCCTCTTTAAACGACACGCCACATATGGTGGTGGAACAGACCAGAAGTCTTGTGGAGAGTAAGTGAGAATTCTATCCAACTTTAAAAGTATAGCGTTTGCCATCTTTAAATCGTGTAGTGAAGTTTTTCCTGCTGCAGCTACCGGCTTTTACTCAGGCCATTTATTCAAACTGATGGATTAATGGATTGATCCGTCTCTCAGGTGTACAGAGTCTGGTGGACGGCATTGGCAATAACATCAGCAGCTTTTCCAAGGTATTCCCTGTGCAGAGCTCCCTGTCCAACTTCACTATCTTCATAAGCCATGCCCACGCCAAGATTGAGGACTACTACCCTGAAATAGACAAGATGGACTTCTACAGGTAAACAAACCTCCTAAAAAAAAAAAGAAAGAAACAAGAGATACCTATAAACTGTAAAGAGTGTAAATACTGTATTAAGTCCACTATCTTGATGACACCACCTTCAGTGAAAGCTCCAACTCCATAGCTTTGCCTGCTGCCTACAGGTGGATCGGCTGCATTGCTCTTTGCTGCATGGTGGTCCTCGTCCTGGCCTTCAACTACCTGGGCCTGCTGTGTGGCACGATGGGATACGACAAGCACGCCTCACCTACGACGCGAGGCTGCATCTCCAACACGGGAGGAACGATGCTCATGGCGTGAGTCAACTGTCCACGTGACACGCTCTGTCCATTTACAGATTTAAAGCTGAAGACGGTGTTGCTATAAAAAAAAGGTTTTGAAGTCAATTTGATGATGCTCGGACGGCACACATTACCACGAGAATTTGAGTACTACTTGTTCAATTGCTAGTCGTCAATAACTGCCAAAACTACTGCTGCGTCACTATTTACTGTACATGCTGCAGCATTTATAAAAAGGTGACAAAGACCAGAGCATATAATCACAATCATTTAAAAGAGGAGCATTAAAGACACAACATGCAGAACCCGTCTCGAAAAGAAGAAGAACTTGTTCGCAAAACATCAACATTTGATGGCAAAATGGTGTCATATTTGGGATTTCAGGGGCCTCATACAAAAGGCAACAACTTTTCTAGAGTTTTGATCATTTGAAAACCACCAATGGATCTTTAAATGTCATGATTTTTGTTCCATCTAATTTGGGATACAGATCCAAAGTAATCCTTGTAGTTCACCTCTTCCTCCACCTCCCCCCATTCCACTGCTGCTACCCTTCCGTCTCTTATTGCTCTCTACGTATTATCTGTACCTGAGGGCCTGTGCGTCGTTCTCCACAGCGGCGTTGGGTTTACCGTCATCTTCTCGTGGGTGCTGATGGGAGTGGTGACCACCATCTTCCTGGCTGGAGGAAACATGGAGAAACTGTTTTGTGAACCCTTCCACACCAAAGAAGTCTTCAAGGTAAGTTCATGGTCTTGAAGTACACTTGTCTTAAATTGAATTAGGCCACATTTGATCACATGGTCCCACTTGCTTCCCATGGGAATCTCACATCCTCTTTCCCTCTTTCCCTTCTCTGATCCTCCAGGTTGTGGACACCCCATATCTGGTCAACCCTGACTGGAAGAACTTCATCCCTGGCTACATGTACAACGACTCCGACCTGGAGCTGACGGCAGAGAGCTTGTACAGGCAAAGAAAACTCCTTTTTTATGTATTTAGATGACAGTGGTACACCTGCCACCTTTCAGAAGTACTGCACATCTGTCTTCTCTACATTTTACTGAATGGGTTCTGCAGCAGGACAAGACATTTATCCAATAACAGGCTGTAGAATTTGAATAATTTTTGTTTTGGCGCAGGCGTTGGGTCAGGCATCAAGAGTCTGAATATTTTATTTCCATTGATGGGGATGCAAATGAGTGCGAGGGTTTCTATTGACCTTGAGAAGCTAATTAGCATGATTTTCCGACACTATCTGTGCTGCTTTCTCTTCAGCCTCTTTCTCGGTGGTTACATCAGCTTTCATCATCTCCTTCCAGTGAGAAGCTGCATATCCTCAGTAACTGCGGTGGCAGACATGCATTCATTATATTTCCAAATAGAGCAGCGCTGCTTCAAAAGGCCTTTGCCCATTAAAAAGCAAGCAGTGCTAATACTGTGTACATTGTCTGAGTCTATATGTTATGTAGCTGGCTAGAAATTACAGTGGAATATTTGTCTTTGACAAATTAGCAAATATTTCAGTCTTTTGAGGAATATTACACTGTTCACTATGAGGGAACGTCGTGTACTTCCAGTCAATTTTACTTGATGGCAGCAAATATTTTCACTCTGCAACTTTTAAGTTGACTTTTTCTTTGTTGTACCTCTTTGTATGTGCTCGTATGTGTGTCTTTCTCAGTACTTGCAAAGAGAACAAAGGCATCTACTCGGCCATGCGCCTGGACAAAGTCTTCAACATCTCCTTGTTCCTGAACACTACAGTGGTCAGTAAACTCAAGACATGTCCCATGTTGTAGGGTCGATCGGAGTGTCTTTGTATTGATTTATTCCTTATATGATAGATATTAGAATAGGTCATTGTACTATTATCTCACTAAAATGGTGTGTTTAAAGTAAGCTCTCAGTTAAGGAGCTCTGTGTGGTACTTTAGCTGTAAACTCCTCTCTCGTAATCTTCATAAAAATACTATTATGGACAGTTAATATACAATAAATCAATGCAATGTACTAAATGCTCAAACAAGGGTTAGAATAAATTTGGAGATGCAGCTCTAGAAGCTACAGGCGGCGGAGTGTCTGGAGATTTCCATACTTGGCTGCAGCGTCTAATTAGCATTACCTAATGATTTATTTTCTGCTAAAACAAAGTCTGTGCTGACGGCTGATAGCTTTAACATGCTTTAGCCCTTACTCGGTGTATGCCTGAGACGTTACACTGATGTAAGTTTCTGTTTCTTCTTGGCCCCGAGCCAGCCACTCCTGCCTGCCTGAGATGTTCAGTACATTTCTGCCAAGTTGGCAAGGATGTATTGGCTCCTTTAAGCCAACAGCTGATATGTCCAATGCTGCATCTGTTTCTGCACACTGGTCATTTGTCTTCATTTAGCGCCTGCACATGTTTTAAGTTTCCAAAAATGTGACACCCTACCTGCCAGAATTTTAGCAATATACTGTATATATACATATTAAGAGTTATCTTATCACCTGTATAAGCTATGGTAATACATCTTAAAAAATGATGCAGCTATCTTAAAACAGTCAACAAAAAAAGACAATTTTATTGGATTTTTTATGCTAGAATATTTTCAAATAGTAAAAGCTTGTCTACCTCACATATTTAGGTCCCCTTCTTTTAGTCTGACTAACACAATGCATTTCATTCCCATGCTGAAATATGGTTCTCTATCAGCTCACTGTGAAAATAGAGATATTGGACTAATGCTGAGATTGCAATTGACCCGAGTTGTCATGCATAATTTCAGACCCACAGAAGGATCATGTTATCTTGGTCTTTGTGATAAACATTTTGATTTGAGTATACACACACATATACATCATCTTACAGTGCTTACCAGACATTCTTGGTCGGGTAGAGGCTCCATGAGTAATTATTTTGGTCCATTTGTGTTGTATTTCTTCTCAGGGTTGAAGTCTTCAGACAGAATCCATATATTTTTACCAATCCATGTGCTGGTAGAAGGCTGTCTTTGTAGAAGACACATCACCTACAAGGACAAAAACATATTAGGTACAGAAAATACATTTACAAGTACTGCCAATAAGTACAATTTTGACAGAATTGTACTACAATTTTATCTTTTATACTACTCCACATTTCAGAAGTGAAATAATGTACTTTTAATTCCACGTCTATTTCACATTTATTGTAACCATTTACATATAGAAACATGATGCAGTACTATGCTACTAATCCACAGTGGTACACAAAGTACCTAGAAGTTGCTCCACATTGATGGATGTTTCAACATTAAAATACTCTTACATATATCCATTAGTGATAAAAACAATTTGTATTTATCTGTCAAGGGGGAACCACATTTTGTATGAAATATATTACTTTTGATACTTTAAGTACATTTTGCTGACAATACTTCTGTACTTTTAATTCAGTAACTTTATCTTGTTACTTCTCTTAGTTACTTTTAATTGCAAAGGAGTATTTTTAGACTATGGTATGTTAGTTAAGTAAAGGTTCTTCTCACAAGAGTTATAGTTATCTCTCCCATAACATCACCAAACCGGCCACATAGCTTGCGGCTAACACCAGCCTTTAACTAGCTAGCTGACGCTGTTTAGCTGCGTTAGCTTACGGCTAATGTTGTGCTAATGTTTATTAGCTAACGGAGCGTTTCCTGTTCTGACCAAACCACGCCCCCTCATTACCGGAGCTAACCGCTAAACTAGCTCGCTAGCTTTTTAAGATAATACAGTATACCATTTTACGTTATTAGTTAGTGATAATATGTCACATGACTGTCAAAATCATTTTAATAATCAATGGTTTGACTTGAATCATAATTCACTTACTACAGCCGTTGAGCACACCTGATGAATAACGTCCCTGGGCCACGGCCTCGTAGTGCTTTGAATTGATTGGTTGATTATCGGGCAGCAGCGAGGCTGATTGGTCAGAGTTCATCCAATCAGATTCCGTGCAGCCGAGAACCGTAAATGACGTCACTGTTGAATATATCAATTTCCCTGTTAGGATTTCAATTATATGCTTCACAATACTGTCATTGGATTCAAGATAGTTTTTGGAGCTAATCTGTGAACTGGACTTTATTAATGTCTTTGTTCTTAAAGATTTTACTTGTTTTAAAAAACAAATTTGTATCCCCAGCACAATAACTTATTATGTTGGAGATTGTTTTATCCTTTGGGTAAATCCAACCCATGGACATACAGTGTCAGTATATTCATTTCACAACAAACAACTTCATTGCCAACATTTTTTGAAGAGTTAAAGAGTTTTCTTTATAGTGCCTCAAAAAAGCATAAGTTTTCTTTTTTTTTGCTGATGAAATTGCATATTACTATTCAAGACATCCCTTGCGGAAAAATCATATTTGCCAACATATGTTGCTCTAGGAGTATGGCTTTCAGAACAACCAATATAATAAAAAATGAACAAACAATAATACAAAGTTCTTTATAGTTATTGACACATAAACTGGGAGTCGTCGTAGAAATGTTGCTTCATGTCTGCCCAGTGGGAATAGTTTGCTCTCTCTTGGTTTAATAGTTTGTAGAGAAATGCGAGTTTTGCATTCCAATTTGTTTATTTGCACAGCAATTTTCCACAACAACGCAATACAAAGTGCTTCACATAAGGGCATTAAGGCACAATATAAATGAAAGAAATTGCTAAATAAAAGGATTGTGTGCAGAAATGCAATAAAATGGACCGCAAACAATTTACAGTAGAAACAAGGAGAAACTCTTCATGCAAGCAATATAAAGAAACACCATTCTAGTGGGATATGTGAACTTTCATCCAAGCCACAGACGTGGCAAAATTTGTTTTGCATTTTTGTTGGCCTTTCATTATGTTAACAATGTTTATGTGTCCGTACTGCAGTTCAGTTTAAATTGTGACTCACAAGCTTTTCTAAAAGGCATACATAGAGGTAGAAACCTCGGTTATTTTTTCGGTTAAAACTGTTTGAGAATCAACACAAAATGTAAAAAACTTCTAGCTTCCTTTTAAAGCTTTAGTATTTAGATCAACAATGAATATGTAATGTTTTACCCGCAGGCTTCATCCAACCTGCTGCTGTACCTTTGTGTGTTTACAGTTTACGAAGGATGTGGTGAGTCAGCTGGACAGCATCAAGATCGACCTGAGGGGAATAATCCTGTTAGAGGCAGAGGGGAAGCAGAACCTTCTGGATTTCTCTGAAGCAGGGCTGTCAGAAATCAACTACGCAGACTACCTGGAAGAGGTGACACACAACACATCACATAACCGATACCTGCTTGTTTACATTTAAGATTTGCATGTTCACTGTTCACTGCTGCATAACAATTTCCCTCGGGATAAATAAGGTTTTATCTCATCTATTCGGAAACAAACAAACTGAATGAGGAGGCCCATAAGTCTGAAGGGGACAAACAAGCACAAACAAGACACACTGAAAATATGCATGAATGAAACAGAACTTAAAAGGGACAAACAGGCACAAACACAGATTGAGAAACTGAAGGAACATGCTGAAAAAACACATAAACCACAACGAAAAACACGTACTCACAGTAACTGAATATGATCTAACTGAAAATTTCAAAATAAAAGTCTAATACATTTTTGTGACACTTTACTATGAAATGAACCAGTTAGATTGTTGAATGTGGCGATATGCAGTGGTGGAAGAAGTATTCAGATATTCACTTATGGAAGTAAAAGTACAGAGTAGCATGAAATGGAAATAGTCAAGTGCAAGTACCTTGAATTTGTACTAAGATACAGTACTTGAGTAAACGTACATTCCCCCACTGGCTATATGACATCAGTACATCAGACATCAGTGTAAACATTGATAAGAGAGTGTTCTATACATATACTAATATTATTGTATTACATGTGTACTTTATTGGTATGTTACCAGACACAGCTTGGCTGAACAGCCTCTTGCTTGGCTGTCAGTTAACATACAGCAGGCAGCCATGCTTCACCTAACAAGAGCTGCGACGTGACACACTACACCGCGTTCTGTTGAGGATCACTGAAGCCCGATTACACAAAAGTATTCCTGCCAAGGCAAAGAGTGTGTGGGAACAAGTCAGCACATGGCATTTCCCGTCTCCTACAACACTACCTGTCAGGTTCACTTAGATTTATTTCCTGAGAAGAAAAAAAAAGCTTTAAGGACTCCATTCAAGTGCACCACCTGTCCGGATACACAACCCACTCTCCGAATGTCAGCATGAGAGGTTTTAGGCCAAACAAATGTTAGATAATAGTATGAATGTTAGAGGAAAGTCTGGTAAAACATATATCACAGAAAGCACCCAAACAATTATACAGGTTTCTAATCACTTTATTGATAACTTTCAATTAAGATCTGCAGCTAAAAACACTGATTTGATCATGAGCAACATTTAAGTGACTTCAATCTACTTGGCAGCTTTACAGAATTGATGAAATGGATTATATTTCTTTGTTATTTAGATAATAAATATCTACTCTTTATTAAAATGAAGTTGTTGAAGTCTCTTCTTAAGAAAATGCTGGAGGAATATGCACTAATGGAGTTTTAAAATGTACTGCTGTTTTTAATACAGCAGATTATTTATTTTTCTTTAACTTAATAGTATTTTCAAGGTGCAGTGGGATCTTTATTTTAAACGTAAGAGCAACACAATGAACAGAAATAAAAGAAACTGCTTTGTAATTATGTAGCTAGTAATTATGGATGATAGTCATTAAAACAATTACACTTAACCTGAGTGCTTTGAACTCAAAATTACCACTGAGAGAAGAATGTTTTCATGATTTATTTCTCTCTTTAAACACGGCTTATCTTCAGGTCAACAAAGGAGTCACTGTGATGGACCTGCTCTCATTTGCCAGAGAGCTGGAGGCCCAGACAGACCTCATGGTAAGAAGACATTGGTGTCGTTCCGGATGATTTACAAACATCCCATGTGCTGTTTCACATCGTTTCCTTAGTTCACAGACACATAATTAGGTTTACTTATTTATTTACAGTGCCATGAGGGCACATTTGTATGTCTTTAGTCTCTAAGCTCGGTCTTGTAATCTAAAACATAACAGCTCTGCCTACATAGAGACAGGCTTCATGCCTTCAGGGGGTTTCAGGAAGGTAACAACACATTCATTCACCTCAAAATGGCGAGTCCTGCAGGATCCTCCAGAAGGACGGAGAAGGACGAGTCTACACACAGGAAGAAATACAAACATTGATTAGTATTTACAGCAGGGGAAACAATACATAACGTCTCTGACATGACTTGAATTGTAGTTTATCGGCTCAAAATTTCCTCTGCCTGTGTGCGTTTTCAGCCCAGAGGCGCTCTGCAGACCGCTCTGAAAGGGCACGCCGGCACTCTGCGGCAGATCCACACTCAACAGATCATCTCCATGGAGCAGGCCATGGTAATGCCCCACTGTGTGTCTCTGTGTTTTCAGTCCAGATAGTCATGCCTGGCTGGGTGACTGTCTTGGTTTTTGGTTAGATCTTCTGTCTAGTTTAAAGGAAACATCCACCCTAAATCACTTAAAACAGCAACGTATGTGCTTTGCATTCATTTGGTTATCTGGTGTTTTTTGACTGGGATTCAATGAACTAATGTGACATCAGGATAATGACAAACATTTTGTCAGCATAGACGAGGAATAAACCAACTTTCTCACCCAGATAAAAGACCTCAAAAGAACGGAATGCGATGCAGCCGCAGGGCACGTTGCGTCTGCGACTGAACCAAGGGATGATTTTTGTTGGGAAACATTTACAGCCCTTGTTCTAATTTGGCTGCAAGTGCAAGTTGATGCAGTACATCGTCACCTCTTCTTGGCTGGAGGGGTTGCTTAGAGGCACTCTGGGAAATGTAGGAAAATAAATAAACTTCAGACTATGAAGCCAGTTGAGGGAAAAGACACGTTATCAGCGTGTTGCGCAACCCTCAATGGCTAGAAAATAAATAGAGTTAGTCTACTCCAAAATGTACTAATGCTCAGAGGAAAGGTTGTGATGTGGTAATTGGTGTGTTATTCTTGTGCTAATGCTTATTTAAGAGAAGAATGGTATCATCCTTGACGGGAAAAACATATTGCGGTGTTTTATTTATTATCATCAAAGACAGAGTGTTTTTGACCCTCAGGGATGTGTCATCCAACATCATGTCTGAGAAGAACAACATGAATATTCAGTTTTATTCTCTCTGTCAAAGGCAATATAATAACACCACGGATTTACAGCTACTGGCAATTCAGACAGGCATTGATGCACTTCACAGCTTTTACAACAGCTTTTTTATGTTTTTCTTTTTCCACTTTCAACTTCAAGAAATATGTTAGAGCGAGGGTAAGCTGTGTTTCCATTCTGTGTATTTAGTGTCCCCGTACATATTTTGGAACACTTAGAGAGATATTGCATCTCTCTGATGACATATATTAATCTGGGACAATATATCTCATTTTGGGTAGTATTGTTGGATATTGTGTGTGTGTGTTCTTGTATTTAAATTGATATAAAAGTCACATACTGAGTGGTGTTGAACATGAAGGGTTTTGTACCGAAATATTACAAAATATCCACTTTGAGAGAAGAAGTTTCAGGTATTCATTTGGTAACAGCTCTGTCCTCTCCATCATCTGTGGCAAAATCAAGGAAAAGGTGAATCATTTCTTTCTTTGCATTGTGGATATTTCATTTTGGGACAAAATTCTTCAGCATGCCTGTACTTAAAGCAGAATATTGTTCATCAAGAGTGGGTTTTGTTCTTGCCTGGTCTCCTTCTGTGTGTCACTGGTGTATTATGACCCCTGACTGTATCTCATGACCTTTTGGGATTTCTGCAGTTAATTTGTCCTCTTAATTTTCCTTTTAAAGAGTGCGTTGAACCAGAGTATGAGGTTCCTGGAAAGAACAGCCACAGACCTGCCAGTAAGTAAACCAGCAACTTCAGTCTCAATCCGACACGCAGCATTCGATTTCAGCTCAAACTAAATCTCTAATTTCTTCTCCGCAGAACAAAGTTTTAGCAGTTCTTGATGCTATTGAAGCTGCCCAGTACCTCATCTCCCACAATGCAACACAGTTAACCAATCGGGTAACTCAAGGACCACTTGCTTTGTTTATATTCTAATTCATAGACCGTTGCAACAGAATTGCATTGCAAGGCAACAGCTTCGGTCCACGTCTACTTCCTGTCAGCTGATATCATTCACACACACAGCAACAGGAAGTAAACTGGGACGCATTTAGAATGTTAACTGTAAAATGATCTGTAACTCACATTATGTCTCAATCTTTCACAGGAAACGGGAAAATACACAGCGACCATTGTTGGCTACTTCCATCAATACATAGAATGGGTCAAAACATCAGTAAGTGTTTGTGTGTTCATTTGTTTCCTCGCTTCAGTGTAGTACCTGGACAGGTAGGGGGCAACATTTCACCTCAATACTGGGTGCGCACAATCTTAATTTGGATCCTGATGCTGTTTGACTGCCCCACCTCCCTGCTGGATTAGTAAACGTTCTGTGGCAGACTTCTGGTGGTGGAGAGGAAAGAACAAAAATATGAGCAGTTTTCTTGTTTCTGACACTTTGGATTTAATAGAATAAACAAATTATCAAAACTTATACAGACACTGTTCCTTCAGCGTGATTGAGTTTTGATTTATGTTCAGTCCAATGTTGGTTTTTAGTCAAATCCAAACACTGGTGGTACATCAAGAGTTAAGTGCTGGCAGTACCTTTGCATGTTGCGTAAGAGGTTTGGAGAAAATATAAAGAAGACAGATGTAGCAATTACAACCACTATAAATTTGAGGAATTTGCCTTGTGGCTCATTGGTTTCTGTAGTTAACTTAAGGAATTCAAAACAAAGTAACAAAGCCTGAAGCTGTTTTAGTGATCTCAGAGCTGTCAATAGAACATTTTTATTTTCCGAGAACACTTAAAGTACAAGGATCTATTGTGCAGCAAGGTGACACAACAGGCTTCAATGTAAGCAGCAAACAGAATTTAACATACAGAATAAGAGTTTGATCGATCTCTCTCTCTCTCTTTCTCTTTTTCTCTCTCTCTCCCCCTCCCTCCCCCACAGTTGGCGATGGAGGTCGCACCATGCAAGCCCTTCAGCAACATGCTGGACACGGCGGAGATCATTACGTGCAGTTTCTTGGTCGACTCCATGGTAATGATATCAGGGATTGTAGGAAAACAAACCCTGTTTAAACATGAGCAGAAATATGTATTAAAAGGCTATGGTGGTTAGCTGTAGCTCATTAGGGGGGGTACATGCCACGTAGATCAAAAATATACAACATATGGGTATACAAAAGTGTGACTTCAATATACAACTGTTTTTAAAAACAGTTTGTCGGACTGCAGCTTACAGCGCACATTATGTTCCACATTAATCAATTCGGGATTTGGTCTATAAAATGTAAGACAATACAATCAAATACTGGCTGAAATCCCAAAATATGAAATTTACAATCACAAAAGACAAATAAAAGCACTGAATCCTCACAATTGATCACTAGGAACTAGGGAATAGTTGGCATATTTGCTGGAGGAATGACTTCCGTGATTAATAGATTATCAAAATACTTGTATTAATGTGTATCAATATTCAGTTCATCGACAAATCAATTGATGGACTAATCATTTGAGCTTTAATTTGTTGTTTGTTCTCTACAGAACACCTTCTGGCTGGGCCTGGGCTGCAGCACTCTGTTCCTCCTCCCCAGCATCATCCTCGCAGTGAAACTAGCCAAGTTCTACCGCAGGATGGACACAGAGGATGTTTACGATGAGTGAGTACTTGTACTCGTTATCCTACTACATATATACATTTATTGCATAGCTTATACTTAGTAAAACGAGATATAATTACAGTCTGTAGTCATTACAATCAATATTTTATATGCTGTTGATGGTTGCAGGACCTCCTTTCTCTACAGCTTCTTATTTTCTACACTCTTTTCTTCTTCAGTTTGTAGATTGCTAATTTACTTCCTAACGTATTTAATTTGAATATTATTTGATAACATTGAGATTATTTTATTTTCGATAAGAAGCATCTTAATTTCAGATTAAATACAAATTAAATAACTATTTTTAAGGTATTTCTGGTCACAGTAGCTCTACTGGTTTATTGTTGATTTGTGGTTTTTATCCTTCTTCTTCTCTTCCTTGTAGTTCCTCTGTTTCTGGGACTTGGCATTTTACTTTGTGATAACCATTTCTACTATTTCCATCTTCCATATCTTTATTTTGTTGGTTACATTCCTCTCTGTCAAGCACTTGGCACTTTACAAAGAAACATTGACGCATCTGTCAATCTATATTTCTCCTTCATGGACCCTTTGTCCACTAAATCACGGCTTTACAACACAAATACAACGTATTGTCTCCATCAGTGGCGTCTCTCGTCATGTGATCTGTGCTGGGTTACAACTTTATGGTGCATTTCTATCGCTGGACATTTTCAATAACATTTTTATGTTGGTTTTTTGTTTTGTGTGTATCTTTATAGCATTGAGACAATTCCCATGAAAACGTAAGACATTCAATCCACGTCCTCTCTCCTCTTCAACTTCTATCACTCTGTGCTTTTCTCTGGATCTTGTACATAGACTTGTTTACTAAATTATTGGTGCTGGTTTACGTTTTTAAGCTTGGTATTGCTCCTATGGGTGGATGCTGTGGCTTCTTGTCGTGTGCTACCTGTGAAAAGTGCCCCTTACCTTTCATGAAGGGCTCTTGCAATCATTATCCTACAAGTCCACCTGTCTTTTGTAAGTTAGTGTAAATAAAACACTATGGTTTATACTCAAAACAATATTTATCTCTTAACATTCTTGACAAGTTTGACTACTGAAAAAGAAAGCATTTATACTCGGAAACCGATCAGCATGTCTCCCTCATTACACTTTTCATCCCCTTGTTTGTATACGATATTTTGTTTTCAGTATGGAAATTGGTAATAATGGTTATCATAGTGAGAGCCAACAAGGTATCCCAAACCCTATGATGACAAGGTAAACATACATATAATAATCCTGTTACTGCATGTTATGGGAGGTGGAGGCATGCTATGGGACGTGGGCTTGTTCACCTGCAAAATGATGACGTCGAACAGTGCATGCCTTTGAAGGAGTTGATTCATTGCACATGGACAGACACACACACACACACACACACTATATATATGTGGAGGCCAGCCAACTGAACAATAATGAGAAAGCTGACAAGTACTGGTAGCTTTTATGGTATAAGATATGACAGATAGGTCCAGAAATAATTTGAAAAAGTTTGAAATAGACATATTTGCTGTCTTTGCAACTTGTAAAATACCAAAGCTTGGTCAGTGGCCCTACACCTCACACTATTTACCCCTCTAGCATCAGTTTTTTAGATACGTTTTAGGTTTACTTACAAAACTGCTCGGTTAGGCCTCGGAAAAGATTGTGGTTTTGGTTAAAATAGCTGAAAGCCCGCTGCATGTCAAGGGAGCCTCGATGCGTCGGTTTCAGACGCAGAGGGCCACTGACCAAGACGCGTTGGGAGTGAGAACGGGTTTGTGTTTGAGAGAATTAGCGAAAAGATTGGTACCACTCTCATGTTTGTGTGTTAGAGTATGGAGTTAGAGTTAGGAGGTGATGAGTTTACCATAAAGACTGGTGTGATTTACTTTTGTAAACTCTTTACTCAGTCCGCCTACGATTACTTCTCTCTGTCTTCCTGCCAGATGTTCTGCTGTGTGGTTTATGGGGGATCTGTTTCACTAAACTACTGCATGTTCTGTGTGTGCATGTGAATGAAAAATCATCCTGTTTCTTCTCATTTAGAGTCAGCCAAAGTCCGTCGAATGTACACCTGATCATTTTGTTCAGAGAGAGGCAAGCATGCAAAGCTTTGGTGTGATGCTGTGAATGATGCTCCTTTGATTTTCTTCTTAATCTAACAAGACGTCTAACTGCATGTTACGTATTTTTTAAGTTGCATTTGGACGAGGATGCGTTTGGGCAGACGACCTACTGTAACAGAAGAAGAGAGCAAAACAGCTAGATCAGACATCTTTGCTTCCACAATTATCCTCTTTTAAACCAATTGAACTTGTCTTTCACATGACTGGAGTATCATTCCAAAAGGAGCGATCCAGTTTTTGAGTAAATGCTGAAAATACAAAACCCAAAGCTAAAAAAGAAAAATTACCATTTTGTAGTGTTTTCTTGTAACAAAGAACATTTTCAAAGACCTTTTATCTTCTATATTTTTCTAGAAATTGATAGAAGTTCAATACAAAATCACTGTCCAAAAACCCAGCATGTATTTTAAAGGGGCAATGAGTAATTTATTACCTCTATTGACATTTATCAACAAACAATAGCTACTGAAACAGACACTTCACCCTCCAGTTTCTTTTCAAACCATATTATTTACAAAACAAGAGTGTTTGAATTAAGATTTTAGAGAAATCTCTGAACCTGGTGAAATAACCCCCAACTAATATGAACATTATCATGTGCTTCCAGACAGTAATAAACCTAACTTATTGCCCCTTTGAGTTTATCCATCTTGGTAGGATGTCGATGAAGCTGTTCTGCTCTCTGCGTTGTGAACCACTCGTCCTGTTTTTCTTTAAAAGAGAAGCAGACGACGGTTTCACAAAATGGTGATGGTTGAATTGTGATGTTAAAGTTTTTCCCCGTGTGTGTGTGTGTGTGTGTGTGTGTGTGTGTGTGTGTGTGTGTGTGTTCCTGTGCCGGTAGCGTCCCTACATATGACACTATGAACAGGTTCCCGCGGGCCTCGGCTCCTCCGAGGCACATCGACTGGTGACAGAGAGCCGGCTCTCGTTCTGGCTCCTGAAAGGTACTGAAAACCGACCTCTGTGTCTGCAACGCCGTTTCATTTAATGCCTTCCTTCCAATCTTGAGTCTCTCTTTTGCACAGCTGTCACCTTGTCCTGCTGTGTGTCTGCCGTCACCACGCCCTCCATCTCCATCCACTGTTTGTAGTCTTATTCCCTTGCATTTCTTCCACTAACCGAACTCTTTAACACTTCTTTACAGCTGGTTTTAGTGCTTTTCTGCTCACAGCGACTTTGCAGGAAAACCATCATGGTGAGAAATGCTAATTTTGGACTCACTAACGAACCATAAATGTCTTCATGGTATTTATGTCTGACTACTTGCGACTGCTTAGTCAGTGTGCTGCAGAGGAGAGAAGCTGGATGTGCTAATGTGCCCATTTTGGGCTTTGTGTGATGCTTATTGAGAACAGAATTAGGTTTCTAAAAACTGCCTCATTTACAAAACATATTTTTATTTAAGGACATTCATTTTTTGGTTGTTCATATCCTGAATGTCACATATCAAGGTTTCTCCCAGATGAAACAGCATTTTGGATTATAGCTTTTGATATCTCTTTTAAATGCATTATTCAGAGAAGAAAGCAGGTTGTATCCGACTACTATAACTACTATATAATAGATATTTTTCAAGTATAAGCCCCATGCAGTCTTTAAAAACACTCCATGAGAGACTTAACTGACTGCACTCTTGTGTTACTTCACAACACAGACAGAGCTGCATTAATCTCCTGGGCCATTCAAAAGAAGAAGGAAAAAAGCAGTACATGAATTATACACGTAATATTTTATAAATCCAATTCATTTTTCTCAAATATTTGCCTTCCCAGTGCCCTCGGAAACTGGAACTGAAATACACCATAATAAGTAAGTTTGCCTTCTTACATTTTAGATTAAAGCCATTTAGTTGAATCTGTTGCAATCGATGCAACTTTCCTGGATCAATAGTGAGGAATACAATGGTTCAGGCTAGATAATTAATTATCTACAAATTAATAAATCAATAATATTTTGCAGTGTTTGGGATGTTTTTGGGCATAACCCTAAACCCATAAAACGTAGCGACCAGTTACCAGATCGTGACCAGCATCCAAGAGGGATGCCAAATGGTGGATGCAACTCAGTAAAAATGCTAATATAGCTACGTGAAATCTGTGGAAGTCAGGGAGGAAGGGCCACCTTTGAATGTTGACTTTAAAAACCACAAATCCTACCCATTCTGCCTTCAAGATGTCCATTCATCAAATAATATGCTCTCGTATCGAGTCTGAAGATCACATTTTTTCTTAAAATAAGAACAAAATGTCTGCCAAATGACAGTTTTTAAGTCTCAAGAAAGTCTCAAGAAAAAAGCTGTTGTATTGGAAACAAGTGCGATACTTCTATTAGTTTGTTGTCATTTTGTTATTATTTATTTAATGTCAAGACTCAATGTGAGGATTGATTAAAGCAGGCTTATGTGATGAGCCCTCACAGTAATACAGCAATCATTATTGTAAGAGAGCATCGACACAAAGACAATAAAGAAAAGCAGTTGTCCTTAACTTTTCCTAAATTGGTACTTAATTAAGTATATTTCATGTTTACTAATCATAACCTTTTCATCTATTTTCAAGCTGTTTGTTTCACACGCCCTCGGACCAGAAGAAGCTCAATAAAAGCTGGTTTCTTCACAACACAAGAGGAACACACAAATCCCTTTGGGTGTTATCTGTAACTCAACTCAAGGCAGATGACAGAACAGTTACCTGCTCCTCATCCAAGGAACTCTACCTGCAGGACATCAAACTCTTCTCCCTCAGCATCAATCTGAGCCACGCTTGTTCTGCTTCTTTTTTTCAGAGGACTGCTGTGTCTGCGTTTACATTTGTTCAGACACAAAACCAAGCTGAAAAATACATTCAGCGAGAGTACGTGACAATAACTGTGATGCCTGTTCATATTAATGTACTTGTTAGTGCTGAAGAAGACGGCGGCTGCTAGAGGAAACCTTTTCTACTGCACGTAAAATGGACGCATTACATTCAACACATGCTAATACAGAAAGTGGAACAGTCGGTCAATACATCTGGAAGGAAAGGTGCAACTTAACGTGACATTTAATGTGTTAAAAAGCACAGAATGGTTCTGAATGGCTCATCCTTTTTACCTGTAGCATGTGTGAGTCGGTGTTTTTAAATGGCTGGATGGTTTGAACAAAGTGGTAAAAAACAGAAACAGGTTTGTCCCAGGTGGATTTTTATGATTAATATAAAGAAATTTAGCATGACTTTATAAAAATAAAAATAAAAAATCAATGTTTACACTATTACAAAACATCCAGACGTCTTTGCTGGTTTTTGAACGGATTGCAAATGACTGGTTGCCTTTCAGAAGTTTCTTTCATGCAGTTGTTTTTTTGACAGATGTGGTCCTTCTTAAAAAGGGAGAATCCACTCATGGAAAGTCAAAAAACACCAATTATTTTGCGGTACAGTGTTTGTACTCTTTACACCCCCCCCCCCAAAAAAAATTTGTTTATATAAGTTTTTAGCATTTTCCCTTAATTTGTGTCATCTAATTTTGTGTCACGTCTTTATTTTCTAAGTTTCCCAAAATGCATTTAAACAATCCCAAAATTATAAAAAAGCGTGGGATCATTTATTATCAAAGCGTAACATAACTGCTGATGTCAATGTGTTTCTTTTTAGGAATTGATCTTTTTTTTTAACATCAAATCATGACTACATTCCTAATTCTTTAAAATTACGCAATTTATAGTTGTAGCCCCTACACACAAGTTGTGAATGTCAATGGCTGGTAAGAAGTTTAACCAAAGAGTGATTTTTCCGGCTTACATTAATTAATTTGATTGGTTAGTGTCAACTGACAGCTTAAAAATTAGACAAACACAATATTGTGTTTATAAGGAACAGAACTATGTTTTTACTTTTTCTTTCCCAAATGATTTCAGTATTTGAGGTGGACTTTCCCTTTAATTTACATAAAGTCGGAGCAATATTTAGTCAGGCTGATAGATTATTCCCGAGCTAACACATGTCGAGTTCACTAAGGTGACATTTCTACTGAGTTCTTGCTTTCATAGTGACAATGCGTTTAAAGTGGAGAAATACTTTCTCAAGCCAAATTGTATTTTTTTTATTTACTGTAGGTCTCAGGTCGTTAGTGGTCTGTCAGTGATGTGCTTATTTTGTTTCTGCTTTTTAAAACCCTACACTAGCTATGGATACATATATAAAGAGAGACTATATGGAAAGAGTGAATGTATTCAAGAGCTATCTTTTCTTTTGTATAACTTGATGATGTTGGCTGAGGAATAGGCTGAACTGATTATCATTAACGCAATGGGCCAATCTAGTCATCCCACCCCACTCGCCTCCACGTTTACAGGTTAGATTTAGACAATCCATTCATGGGACAATGCAAAAAGTAGAAAACCAGTAGAATGCTTAATGGTTTACACAGTGGATGATGTTGATGCAACTGTGAAAAATGTCCATCTTAACACTGAAAGTTGTATTTAGCTAATTGTCTCTGAATAAGCCATCATATATTGCAGTACCATATGTAACTTTACAGTACTAATACTATAAATGTAAAGTACATTTCAATGTACATTTTCACTGTATTTTGATGATTTCGAAGTAACTTTGTTGCTCACTTTTTTAACCCACACCATTAGCATCGAAGTTGTGCCACTTGATCCATGAAAACCAACAAATTAGCATGGAAACTACAGAAAACATGTAATCTCATGAACCGCATTCACTTTTTATTACATTTTTTTAAACTGACAAACTAATTTCATGAATCAAATTACTCATTTTTATCACATAATCATTTCAAATGAAAGTTTTCACACAGAGACCTAGGCTTGTTAGCTAGTAGCTACAGCTAGAAACAGTTACATACAGTCGGTCTCATATATACTTGTACATTCAATAGTACTGCATAGAACTACTACAGTATACGTAGTAGTAGGTACAACAGTGATCTGGATGAAGTTTAACGTGGTATAAATTTAAAAAGGCTTTAGTTAGCATAAAATTAGCTGACAGTTTTTTGTTTTTTTCTTGTTAAGATGGACATTTTTCAAAGCATCAGTGTGTTCACTTTACAGGACTATCATTCATGTCTGCTGGCGTCTGGATGTGATCCATCTTGGGAGAAAAACGGTCTGATTTTACTTTTTAAGTGCTTGAACTAGATATTGTGTATCCGAACCTTCAGGACAGACACATCAGTGACTGGTTTGACCTGCGACGCTCCAAAGTTGGGCAGTGATGGAGCCATAGGAACGTCCTATGTGGTGGAGAGAAGAGTGTATAAATTATGAATAAACTTTGAAATTCAATTTATTGTCGTCACTTTTTTCACTTTTGTTTTTGTAATTTTTGTGCATTGAATCAGCAGTGCATTTTGGTTTTATTATTTCTGGTAAAGCAAAAAAAACAAACAGCATAGCACACATGCATTTAGCAAGAATGGGCAATTATACTGTATATATTTAAAGCTTTATATATTAAGATAGTGAAAAGCTACTGACAGTGACTGCATGATTAATGTGTTTTATGAAAAACAAATGACATGTTACATACAGTGGTGGAAGAAGTACTCAGATATTTTACTTAAATAAAACACAGAAGTCATGCATTTTTAAATGCTACTTAAGTAAAAGTACACAGGTATTAGCAAGTATTTAAAGTATTAAAGTTAAAGTACTAAAGACGGTCCCATTCAGATGAATGCGTATTACTTAATGGAATTATGATTGTTGATACATTGATGATTACATCACTTTAATATTAAAGCTAGTATATATAAATGTAGCTATGTAAAAAGTACCCTGGGAAATGTAGGGTAATCACAAGAAATGGAAAAGCAAAGTACAAGTATCTTAAAATTGTACTTAAGTACAGTATTTGAGTAAATGTACCTAGTTACATTCCACCACTGGTGACATGAAACGTCTTGCTCATGGTGTATTTTAAATCTTTAACACAAACTGCACATTCCTATGTGGTGCTGCCGCTGCTGGTCGGAGCCCACTGGTTGCGTTACTGGTCAGCTATTTTCAATAAGAGATGATTATCTTCTGCCATAAGCTTCTTCCTGAGGTTTTCTGAGGCATCAAACAGTATGTAAATAAACACCACCAGCAAAACCACATGCAGCCTCGTTCCTACTTCAAAATAGGTTCGTACAGAAGACGAACATCAAAAGCAGAAGCAGTGGTTTAGAGAAAAAAAACCTATTTAAACGTGTTTACTTGCACATCAAACAGTGTTTGAATGGTTATTTCTGAGTTCCGGCACAAGTTGTACATTACTGCGTGTACAATCCATGTGTAGCTTGAGGGTTGAGCCATACACTAACACTGCCAGCAGGAGCTACCATGCTATATGATAATATGCACATAAAAGGGGCTCTGCATGGAGAAAAGTATTCTCTAATTGAAATACATAACCGTTTACTGTCACGAGGAAAATTCACTAGTTGAGAGCCAGCAAAGAAAACTTTACATATCACACTACATTATAGAGCTTTCATTCTATTAGCTTTATATTTATGAACTCCACATACACACAGATTTGATCTCATAAATGCATCGTCCTCTGTTTACTTTATTGTTGTTATTTCCTAGTCTATCGTATGTGTGTTATGCCCAGTGTTAAGAGCTGCCACATAAACCTTCCCCAAACTACGGGGATAAATAAAGCTGTATTGAACTGAATATCAGGCACACCAGTGGACGGCATACTATGCATTTACACAGAGAGATACTTGCATCAGACAAAGTGTGCCGGTGAATATGCTCAGCGGGTGGTGGAGAAGAGACTTTGAAAAGAAACACTGCTGGTTTTGCAGTAGCTTAAGAATTTAAAATGAAAAAAAATGACTGCTGGAATGAGCATGAAAGTCCTCACTAAGTACATTTACTCAAATGCTTTACAATTTTGAGGGACATTTGCTTTACTAGAGTATTTCAAATTTGATCATAGACTTCATTTTTATAAACAAAGCATATGATCAATATATAAAATATGATCCTGTGTTGTCGATTAAACCATCCAACAGTAAACAGTCGTTAAGAATCTGCATTTGTGTTGTGATGTCACATAGTGTTCGAAAGGGACTAACAAGTACTTTTAGTTTAATACATTAATTACATATCTGTTAATATTTTGTACTGTGAAATCATTAATTTATGCCGTTTTCTTGTGAGAGTATTTTTACCTGCTATTGTAAAACTGTTGAGTATATTCTACTGAATACATTTTGAAAACTTTGCTTTTTAAAGAAATTCAACATTTGTGTTTAAATGTATTGTATATTCCTGCAATTCTTTCCACTGTAAACAGTGAAGCTAAATCTCTTCCGGACGTGTTGACTACATTTCCCACATTAATCACAATGGGACCTTTTTTCCTTTCATCTTATACAGACATCTCTTGTTCTTTCTTATTTGGCACAAATCCTTGAGCTCAGTGTTCCATGTGTGAGTTTCTTTGTGGTTGTGCAGTGTGATCGTGTTTATATTTGGGAGGGAAATGATGCTACTGCATGGTTGTGAGCTACAACTGCCTTTTGAAAACAAGCGAGAACTTGAGGGCTTCAGAAGGCTCTTTTACGCGAGTGTAATCCCAGACATGCCGTGTTTCTCTTTAATTGAGATCTACTCGACAGACACAAGATAATTATAAAAAAAATTATGTTTGCATGATTGCAAAAAGCCCTCTGGGGACAGAAAGCGATAGAAAATGTTCAAGAAGATGCAATTGACATTATTTTGTTCTTCTTTGGGTGCGACAGTTCGTACACTCATTGCGTAGCAGCTGGATAAACACGAGCATCACAGTAAACATCTCACGAGGCCCTTCTAGCCTTCTCCAGACGGCTATAAATGATGTAGTCGCTGCTCTCCTCCTCCCGAAGGAAGGACCACAAACTCCTTCTTTGTCCGCTCAGACAATAAATAGCAGGAGGGACCCTCAGCTTGAGCAGTCCAACTCTCCACCTCCGACACTCAGCATCCATCCGACACCATGTGGACCCAGGAAAGCGCTCTGATGCTTCTGCTCGCCTGCTGCCTTTGGTCGGCCGAGGCCCAGAGCGACAGGAGACAAAACATCTGGGACGATCCCATCAAATTCAAAACCCAGGCCAAGGACGCGTGCACCATGATCATCACCGGTCAAGGGGAATACACCCGGCTGAAGCTGTCGTGCCGGAGCAGCAAGCGCTCCTACTGGTGCGAATACGTGGGCAAGCCGCACACCTGCAGCCCCTACAACAAAAACCCTCGTCACTACTTCGTCCAGATGATGTGGGGCCTCAGAAAGCTCCACAACGCCTGCCTGGCGCAGAGGCAGATCAAACCTCACATGTGCAGGAAGGCGACCGACGAGTCTCAGATGGTCTTCTCGGGCGCTTCCTTCCCCCGGTCGGTGGCAGAGGCTTCAGCTCGGATGAGACCGGCCGCACAGCCCGGCAGACCTTCACCCACGAGGCCTCGTCCTTCGCCCACGAGACCCGGTTCTGCGAGGCTAACCGTTGGAGTCCCGCCACGAATGCAGCCCACACCGAGAGCCAGTCCGCCACCAGCAACCACCCCCGTGGAGAGCAACGCTAAGAGGATGGCTCAGCAGTACTGCTGGAGGTCACTTCAAGGCATCTGCTCCTACTTCATCGGTTTCGTTCGGCACTAACGCGGGAGGTGAGCTACAGAACGGTGCCTCTTCATTAACACACAGCTTTTATTGTGTTGTTTCAGGACTAATCTAAGAGTACGCTGGTTGAAAGATAAATCATGTATATTTAAATCTAGTTTGCCTCCAGCGTTTGTGCGCAAAATTCAAACTTTTGTCTTTTACTTGCTCAAAATATAACTAATGCACATAAATTACAACTGTATATGCATTTCTGCCTCTGCTCTGTTCACAGATTTACAATTCTGATGATGATAATGTCGGATATCTGATTAAAACGGCCCTTGGAGGGATATTCCAGACCAGCAGTTTGTTCATGTGGTAGAAGAGATAGAAGAACTGCAGCACTCTCTTCAGGGGAAGAGATGCTACTGCTGTGACCATACGAAGATGGATTTCTCTGTGAACCTGCGCGCAATCCTCCAAATGTCACGCCTTAGAAAAACTCTATCCATCTTAACTGTGTAAGAACAAACTAAATGGCTCACAGAGCAGGCTGTGAAACACATGTATGAAATGGTACAAACACTACTTTAACTAGTGAGAATGTTTCTGCCGCTGCACAAACCTGTTCAACAATATATGGGAGTGGGAAGAGTACACAGATAACTCACTGGCCACGTATTTGTAATTATATATTGTTTACTTGTATATAATCTACTTGCATCACTTAATATTACTGTGTGAAAAAGGCAGTCATTTATGTACTGGTGTATTTGATAGAAAGATATAATGAATGTGAAAATGATTTTATTAAAGAAATAAACATTATTCTCAATTATTCTGTGTTGATAAGCTTGATTTTATTTCTCCGTCTCGATGAAAAACTACAAAAATCATGCAAAAATGTTAGGTGCTATTTTACAGCGAAAGAGCAGCAATACTGAAAACGACTGTCAATATTTATTATATTTATCCTCATCATGCTCATCAATAAATAGTGGAATCACCTGCTAAACTGCATTTGACCATTAAGTGTCACTGTTGCTTAAATTAAACAGGCCAAGTTCAATCAGGGACGTCTGGCTTGTTTCAAGATACTTTCAGTCATTTTATCTTTGGCACACCGTACTAACAGTTGGTGATGTGAAGGTTTGAAATGCTAAGAGTTGTAAGAATTTGTGTCAAACGAATGCCTTAAAAGTGAAGTTATCATAAAAGCAGGTGGGACTTCTTATAGCAGGCAGCACTATCTACCAAAACAGACTATTTTCAGTCTGATATCTCAATCTGGTGTTCACAAGTTTCAACAAAAACTGTTTGAAGTATTTGCCCCTTGCTTAATTTAAAAGTTCTGGCGACCAACTAAAACAGAGAGAACATAGTTGTGAAAGTGCACGAAACGGTGAGGAAGAGTAGTCTATGTTTGTCCTTTTTAAAAGTGTCTTCATCTCAATTTGCTCACTGTTGAGCAGATTCTGAATACTTTATTTCATCTGATTTAACCTGAATAATTTCATTAATTAATAACAATAATTATTTCAACTGCAGAAATTTAACTCAAAATATCTCTACAAGACGATCATTTGACTGGCTGACTAATATGAACTCAACAAACTTTGTAAGCCGTCCAATCATGCAGTGTGCGTGTGTGTGTGTGTGTAGGTGTGTGTGTGTGAAGGGGAGGGCTCATTCTGCAGCAGCGTACTGTAACTGCAGGTGCAGTAAAGGAGACTCTCAGCTCTCACGTGTCGGGACTGAACACTGAAGTTTACTCTGAAGACTTCAGGTAAGTCATCTCCGTTTCATCTGGGCTCAGTCTGTAATGATCCGGATTACGGATCACTTTGGAATCAATATAGCATTAGGGCTTATAGTGTGTGTGTGTGTGTGTGTGTGTGTGGCTGCTACTTACTGCCTTATATATTACTACAATTCCTACAGTTAGTTCAAATGCCCTGTATGGTACTTGACTAATTAAATTCATCATGGTTTTCCAGTTAAATCACTATTATGCGACTATAAAGGAGTGTGTCTGCACTCATATTGTAGTATTGTTATTTTTATCTACTTTCTATGCCATCGCTATATTCATGTCAACCTTTATTCAGATTGTTTCATCCAAGGCTGTCTTTTAAACTAAACTTTATTTGCCACCGCCATGTTTAGATGAAGTAGGGATATTTATTCATATCTCTCAATCCACTGTAACTTTTTAGTCCTCTTTTTATTCTGACGTATTCCTTTGTAGCTTACGTTTATCTTATTTAATTTAACTCTTTTCAAATCCAATTTATGTCGCTTCAATATTGTCTTGTGTTTCTTTTATATCTTGTATACATCTTAAAGTGGAGCACCTTGCCTTAAAAGATGCTATTCTAAGAAGTCATTTGTGTCTAAAATATAGGTCTAATAGGGAATTTCAATGATTCTTTGTAAGAAGGGAAATGAAAGGGATTGAATGTCATGCATCTAAATCCTAATCTCTCCTCCTGCAGGGTGTTTTGTGCTGCCTTCATGGCTCTCCTCACCAATGTCGCTATCCTGCTGGTCTTGGCTTGCATTTCCCATCAGCTGATGTTGAGCAGCTGCCAGAAGAGCCACGGACGGCGGGGAAGAGGGGTGGACAGAGGACAACACAAAGCCAAGGCGGGGCCGAGGGTCGGCCGCCAGTCCAAAGCCGTCCCTGCACAGCCCCTCAAGGGCCGAATGGTCACCAAAGACAAGTCCTCGTGCACCTGGGCAGCAACGGGCGAGGACATCTTCACCCTGGGTGTCACCTGCAAGAAGGGGGACAGGAGCTTCAGCTGTGAATATGTCGCCAGACCGGCTGTCTGTCACCAGTATGCCTCCAACGTCAAACTGTACTGGAAGCAAGTGGCCAGGGCGCTGAAGAAGCAGAAGAGTTTGTGCCAGGACAGCCGTGCGTTGGTCAGGGCGGGTGTGTGCAGAGGAGCTGCCAGAGAGGCTCATTTCAGACTCCATGATGATCAGAGGGAGACTCCAACACCTTCAGCACCCAGAGCTGTCAAATCCTGTCAGCCTGGTAACAAGAAGCTGGCTGAGGAGCACTGCAACGACTCCTGGTCGAGTTTTTGCACATTCTTTTTCACTATGGTGCACGATGATGATTGCTGAGACAGAAAAAGTGAATTTCTAAAATAATGAATTCAGCTCTCTATGCAGTAACATCAATACTTATCTTATTATAGATTATTTAAAGATGTATTTCTCCACATCCTTATATGATTCTAACCCTAAACTAACACTTTTTCTATCTATTCTTTAATGTTCGATTTGTCAATTTGGGAGGCATTTACTGGGCTGATGACTAAAAACCCGCTTGAACAAGAGAACCCTGTCTTGTCGTTAATGTCTAAGCTCTTTTGTCTTTTCCTAAATGTGTGTGCACAGTCCTGCTGAAGGTATTCGCTGGCAGATTAGCAGTTCGAGCATGTTGGGTATTGACACAGTAATTTAACCAGAGGGAGTGTAATTTGTAGAAAGCCTTGGCCTGCATACTTTGGCTCTGACAAGCCTCTGAATTCACACAAGCTCAACTTGCAAAAACCAAAGTCGAAAAGGCAGCGGGGTCTTGTTCAACAAAGGATGTTTGCCAGATTAAACCCAAGATACATTGTGTTTGGCGTTTTGTATCAGGATCATAAGACCTTTCCACTGCATTTCATACAATTGTTTTACATGATATTAAATCAATAATAGCTGGTATAGTTGCAGAGTTTCCCCAAGTTGATGTCACTAATGTTCAGTGGCGAAATGAGATAATTTACTTAAGTAAAAGTAGAAATACTACAGTATAAAAACACTCCATTACAAGCAAAAGTCGTGCATTCAAAATGTTCCTTTAGTAACAGCAACAAAATGTACTTACAGTATCAAAAGTAAAAGTACTCATAATAAGGCTAGTGTCAGTGTTATACTATTGTATACCTCCACCTTGCCGTTGGTCAAGGTGGAGCTAATTTTAACTACTTCATACTTTTGGTAGATTAATATGCAACATTGGATCAAATTATATAAAAGGATCCTATGTTTAGCATTTAAAGTCTTAGAGCAACTATTGCTCTTAGATACATGTGGTGAAGTCCAAAATACATTATATTCAATTACAAGTAGCAGAAGTACTTCAAAACTGTACTTAAATACAGTTAATGCACTTTACAGGGTTATTTCTACACTCACTGAGAAAGAGTCCCTAGTATCAGTTATTTGTGTTTGACGAAATCTTATTTTTTCCATCGACTTGTTATTGACCTGAGGGCTCACACAGAAAAAAAGTCAATCAGCCCCTTCACAATAAAGCTCATCTATATTTTGACAATTTGTGACGTGATATCACATCAGGATTTAGATGAATCCTCAGCATCACACATGATGCGTCAGTACCAACGTTCAGCAATCCAGATTTTTACAAGAGGCAGACACGACTTTCTCCACCACAGCAGCTCCAACAGACCAGAACACATCATGCTGGGATCTGAGAAAGGCAAACGACTCTCATTTTCCTTGATGGCTATTTCAGCTCCATCTCCTGCTGCAACATAACGCATTTACCCACAGCTGAAATCCATCAAATCCACAGATGCTCAGCAGGTTGCATTCTGGGCCATGTAGGAAATGGCAACAAAAGAAGTAAATTAGAGGGCAGTGCACAGAATAACTGCAGGAATGCAGTGAATATAGAAGTACATTTAGGGAGGAGTTTCTCTTTCAAGATTCTGAAACAGCAACTGCTCAAGAAAAGCAGCTTCAGAAATGTGATGCAAAGCAGACGCTCAGTAAAAGCAACTCCCACTTTAAATGTGACAGAAAATCACCTATTAAATAAACAACTTTGTGTAATAATTTGATTAAATAACCTATTGACAGTGTTGAAAGCTGTTGAAAGTAGTTTCACATTAGGCACCAACTGTCCTTTCAAATGCAACAACCCACGAAATATAAATATTACTAAGGACATGTGAATAAATACATCATTGTACAACTGTACTAAAGTAGCTTTAGTTGATATATTCCGATATACAGTTATGTTAATGCCTCTGCTTTAACTAGATCCGTTTCAGAAAGCACTTTAATGACTCTGAGCTGTTCTGTGGTGACACATTCTGCTTTCTCCGAATAAAAAGTAACGTTATGTTGAATAAAAAGACACAGAATGAACTGCTGTCCAACAGTATGCTGCATCATGTCCCAGTGAGGGAATAATACTGTCCAAACAACTTTGGACAGATGCAAAATCACACAATTATACAGTTTACCTATTTGTTATGTTAATAATGCGCTGTTTCACATTTCCTACACAGTTTAACACGGATGATAATAATCCAGGTGAGCACATACCTGTCCTCGTGACGTTTCTGCTCAGTTTGAGTGACGTTAGCTCTGCAGAGCAGGACCAATGCTACGCGTTGTTGTCCTGCTGCTTTCATGTTTGTTAATCCTCTCGGGAAAGATGCTTGAGATCACAAAAAGCCTGTTCTTGACCAGGTACCATCTCCTCCGATTAACACATACGGGAAGAAAAAACGTCCTCTCTGAGCCAAGAACCGCTACATGTTAAATGTAGTTATTTTTACCAACAATTTGGTTTATAACAATATCCCACCGAGATGTTTAATCTCACATAATTCTAAAAAAACAGACTTTTAAAATGTGTGCTGTAGAAGATCATCTGTTTCATTCATGGTCACACGTGTCACGCATGGTTTAAATGACAATACTTGTCAAACAGCCAATCAGATTGCAGCGGGGGCGGGAGTCAATCAGCCCTGCGCATGCGCATTATAGTTTCCCACATTCGGGGGCCCTTGTCAGTACAGCGGCCTCTCAAGAGAAGCATATTTAAAACCAAATATAAAATTATATAATTATTTTTGCCACTTTTTGCCATTGGACTACTCCTGCATTGTGCTACTGGAGCACACTTGGATGAAGGCGTCCAGCATAAAGAGTGACTGTGTTGTTAAGTGCATTGTGATTTAATTAAATCCTCAGAACAATAGAGTTATAATACAGGTGCAGCAATTTCAGGTAATGGAGAAGAACATATTCAATAACAGTTGTAACCAAAATAATTTAGATTTTACATACTGTGCTGTATCTAAAATCTGTTTTTATTATAGTAATCTGACTATCCCCCTCCATTTTTTCAGCAACACAAATTCCTTTACATGTTGTATTGTGCCACAAGAGCTAAAATAAGCACTTGAACTGCTCCGAAATGTGTCTGTAATGATGTTGATATGATATAACACAGATAAATCCCCATAGTATAATCACTGTACACATGTATATATTTAATGGCTTCATAGTGATCGATTATAAAAGATAAAACTTTAATTGCAGGTTTGTGATGAGTCACAAACTCTGGTCTCCAACATAAAACTGCTGTGGTGTACTTCACCCACCACTCCAAGGAAAGCCCAGTAGGACAAAAACATGTGAAATAGACACACATGACTAAAGAGGTCAATTTAAAATGTGTTTAGTTTCCTGGGCTTTCCACACCACCAGACTTCCAATAATGTAGTTTCCCTCTTGTTTTATCGAGGGCACACTACTTCTGGCATTGGACATAAATCATGATGTGTGAAATTGTCCAATTTGGATACAATTCCTAGAGACACTGGAGTGGAAAAGACATATTGCTGTCAACATGGGCAGTATGCAGGACTGGAGGATCAACACTGTCAGTGACTCTCAGCGTCGCTCTACGTTGTTGGCTATTCTTTCAGGTTTGGCACTTCATGCTGGTTAAAACCCTTCATATCCTATTATAGGCCGAGACAAAGCATCCTTCCTGAGTGGACTGTGGGTGTTGTGGATTTACAGGTGGCCTGACTGCCTGTGGCTCCTGATTGGCTGAGAGACGTGGGCCTTGCCTTGGTCAAACTAAAAGTTTACTATCGACTCTAAGGAGATTTGTGTGTGTGTGTGTGTGTGTGTGCGCGCCAGTGTAAAACCAGGCTTACACACTCCTATGAATGCCTGGGCATTTAAAGAGCTTTCACCTCGGTGGAGTCAAGAATACAAAGTCCTGAAGGGAATTAATGAAACGCCACAAATATTACATTGTTAGTGTGAAATGAGACTGATTAGCATGTGCTGGTCGCAGGTCTGGACCAAGCAAGAAACCAGCATCCACCAGGACTCGACATAAACTGGACTAAAGCTGGCAGAGTCACACTTTCAACACAGAAAAGAGTGAGCAACTTTAGAGCAGGGATTGACCTGAAATCTTTGGTCAGGAAGTACCAACCACCCAAAACTGGAGACATATAATTATTTTGTATTATAGTTTGGTTTAGATCTTAGCTATTGCATCCATTTAAAAAAAATAAACAGGAGCATAAAATCATACAGTTTGTGTTGTTATTTGCGGTTGTGTCCAATAAGGGGGCATTCAAACTCAACTCAGCTGGTTTACCTCATTTAAATTCGAGGACTGCTACAGCAGGCAATACTGCACCTCATTTTAATTGCATGAATGCCACATAAATTTAAACTTTCCAATACTTAACCAATATTCATGAGTTTTTTTGTATCAATGTATGGATTTTTTTTAAGTCCATTAAAGATAGACATGTTTAAAGCGTGCGATAACGTTAATATGTAAGTTTTTACTTTATGTTTAATTTTTCTCTCTGTTTTTATTGTGTTGTAATTTTGGTTGAAGACATTAAAGTACTTTTCATTGTTTATTTTGCGGTTGAACAGTACTTCTGTTTGTTTGGATTGGTTGAACTTCATCTTCACATTCTACAATCAATAAATATATTTATCTGCAAAACACTCTTATCTTAAGACATCTGAAACAAAATAATATATAAGATTAACTGCAATGAAAAGCTCAGACAGCTATAAGGTAACATCAATTTGAGTAAAGTCGTTTTGCAGTAGAATTGGACACGTCTGCAGAGAGAGCATGAGCCTCTGGAGGAAAGCATGCCAATACATGAACACATTTTACAACTTCAACCTTCAGGCGTTTTTGAATAGGTCACATCTGGCAGACGGAGATTTGATGAACACGAGGAGAGGCTTGTCAACCGGGATACTGACTCAGGTTTATTTTAGATTTTTAGGATGAATGTATGGAGCCGAGCTCAGACTTCTATACGCATAAAAAGACTGTTCTCACTCAAACACCACTCTGTCTTGAATTTAGCTTTAAAAATCTGAAGAAACTGGTGCAGTTTATGCATCCCACTGGAATCACAGAGATGAAAATAAAGTGATATCTTAATGTCTTCAATCCCAGCGACACTTTGATGCGTTCATATAACTGCAAACCCCCGCTGTGAGGACAAGCACTTCTCAAACTCAGAACATTGTATTAAAGTCTAGTTCAGATGGAAAGTTTTCAAGACATAAAATGTATCTGGACGTGCTGAAGCACATGGACGTGCATACAAAACAGAACAAAGACAAAACAAAGACAAATAAAAGAAGATAAATAAATACAAAGTCACTACAAAAGATATATGATCCTCAAAGTAAATGAGCCATAAATGCTGTGAATATATTAAGTCCCTGTGACTGTAGAGAAACAGTGAGCTCATTTTAAACTTTGCTGCCGCCCTGTGGTGCAACTCCAGCAAAGTGAGGTCATCTCCCATCTATTGATCTAAAGACGCAATTAGTGTGACATCAAGCCAGTTCATGCAGAAAGACACGGAAGCTATAGATGTCTTCATATGAGTCAACAAATGTCTAATAGTGTCCCATTACTTATTGATCACTGACAGGCGCATGGTAATTGAAGTCGGGATCAGCTGTTCATTTGTAATTAATGAGAGCAGGAGAGCTGTCGACATGTAGGCTTTAATAATTCAGCAGCGGGTGATGTTTTTTCTATGTTGCATTTCAATACATGTGAGCACGACAGACAACTGCTAACATAACAACAGAGCCACGGCAAACACAAATGAAGTGTTTAAAAAATAACCAAAAGCGTAATTAATTCAAACATCGCCACCATTGTTGTCTACAATAAAATAAAAACGGCACCTTCACTCACTATTGAGCTGTTTAAATAACGTCTAATAGGAAACAAATATTAAATATCTTTGAAGTCGATGCTGTTAATGTAGAGGTATATCAAAAGGACAGGTGAGTTATTCACACAAATTCAGTCAATAAAAAGCAAAAGTCAGAAAGAATCAACAACTCCAGATCAATAAGCTCATCTCACACGCATGTAGCAGCATGGTCAGTGTTGCCAGATTGGGCTGGTTTCCGCCCAATTTGGCAACTTTTAAATAACTTGAAAACTTGAGAAATAGCATTGAGCTGGTGGATGAAATATGGATTTTGTATTCAATTATCGTAAGAGATAATGAAGGATGTACTTACCCTGACGTCATCATCATTTAAATTATGGCAGTTTGTGTTTTTGTTTTTTAAACTGCACTCTTTGTGGGTTGCGATAGACTTCTTATCCAACATTTTACCTTTGGTTATTTGATGCAGATATGAAGCTTTGTATGCTTATCCTTGTTTCCCATTGCACATGTATGTAATGCTGGCGGGGCTCATGATTCGGGCTGCATGGTTTCTACTGAACAGGGCAGATTATAAACTGTGATTGGCCTGGAAACTGTCAATCCGATCTGGCAACACTGAGCATGATGATGATGACTCATCATTCAGGCTGCAAAACACATCATAAAACAGCATTAATCATTCCCACCACAGAGGTAGAGTAAAGCCTTCTGGTAGTCTCCAGTTGTGTCCTCCTGCAAAAAACAACAGACGCAGAGTTATTTTATCCATCTTATAAAACTCAGAAGGTTTCTCTTCACTCGCTAAATAAACTCTGGATCGATTATCAGAACCTATTTTGAGCTTTAAGGCACTTAAGTTATTTTCCATTGTAGATATGTTCTAATTTCAAAATGCTCTATTGGTATTTTTTCCAATGAATGTCACACTGTCTCGTTTTGTGCATGTGGGCGGTTGTAGCTCGGCTGGTTGGATTGCCCCCCCCCCCCCCCCCCCAAAAGTGTCCTTGAGCAAGGCACCGAACCTCAAACTGCTCTGCATTGTCTTTGTTGCTTTTGTCTGCCAAATGATTGTCATGTGATGTTGTCACGAATCTCCACACCCTCACCCTTCAGTCGATCACATGTCCTCAGCCTCTATTAGCAGGCTCACCAAATGCTACCAAACTTTTGCTAACTAGCTCACGCTAGCGAGATCCACATAATTGTATAAAATAGCGTGAAGTAAGTATTCTGGATTTGTCGACTACCTGCTACAGTAAATACATGCGGTGCAGAGACAAGCTCAACAAGGCTGTGAAACCATGCTTTGTGGTTGTGAGCTGAGATTTTTTTACTTTACTTTATTACTAACTCTATCTATTAATTTATCTATCAGTAACAATGTGCATTAATCAACATTATTCATGAATTCCTCCCAATAGTGGGTTTTCATCTGCAGCCCCTTGATATCAAAGTCTTAACTTAACTGTTAATAATAGCATCTTGTACAGAATTGTAATTCAAAAACATCGCAGTGAATCAAACTCTAATGCACACGATGTCAGCAAAATGTTAAAAAAACAGATAATTTAAAAATGGTTACCGCCGCTGGAGGGAGAATAGATACCGTGTTAAAACAGTGTGTAGATTATTTTAAATAAGGTGCTGCAGGGATGACATCTTTTCCCCAGAAGCTAGCATCACACTGGTTCCCTTGATTTCACAGCCAATGGGATTTTATCCAATGGATTTGAGATTATTGCAGAAAATAATCTCTGAGGCAAACAAATGTTTATGATACTAATATGTTTTGTTTAGTTTTGATTTAGATGTAACTGCTACGCAGGCACTGCAGCCATTTCACCACTAGACAGAAGTTCATTTTCGCTAAATGGGAGTTAGCAAACACTAGCTGTCAGATGTCCTCAGTCAAGGCTCTGAATTTCACGATGTGAACAGTTTTTCCCACTCGGTAGCTGGTAATTTTGATGTGAATAATATGAAATTAAGCATATGAATAAAAACACGAGTTGTTTCTTTCTCTTAGCTGTAACAGAATGTAGCTGGCAGTTGTTAAGTGTGCTAATTAGCCTGAAGGGTTTGATTGGTTGAAGGCTGAGGAGGCAGGAAGCAGTGAAAACAATAGACTGTTTTCAAAGCAGACCTCTTTTCAGTAGCAGCATCAACAATCCAGCCCATCAATCTGTAATAAATCTGGATTCAATTCCCATGAATGACAGACTTTTGGCAGGTGAAACTAATGACATTAACTATGGCTCTGGCTCATTTCAAAGAGCCAGTAAGCCATGGCATGTAAACCATTATGGCCATGGAAATATATAAATACCTGTAAATTGAGTGCAGCCATAATTAATGTTATTAGTTACACTTGTGGCTGACAGGTCAAAATATCAGCTACATGAACATGAAAAGTTAAAAAAACTGATGTGAAATGGCTTCACAGGGAAAAATAGCACTTCCAAAGCCATTGTTGCATTAATAATTGCTATAATAAAATACAAAAATAACTATTCATCTATTCAATATTGGCCTTTTCTACAGGAGGATGTCAACATCTCTTCACTGCAGGAACATCTGGCCCCCCGGAGAATAGACTAATTCACTTCGGCTTGTGTGAAAAGCAGAGAAGCATCATCTCGTGTCCGTCTCGTCACGCTGAACAAGGCATTTAAAGTAAATCACTAATCTCTACTCCATCACTGCGCTGACACGATAGTGTATTAGCAGCATAACCGTAGTACACCCAGCTGGTGTTTTAAAGCATGCAGAGGAATAGATGAGTTTAGAGCATCAGGGGGGAAACTGTGATGAGAATTACAGCAAATTTATTTTCTTCAGAAGGATTGGATTATTTAGTGCATGTCATTAAAGAAACAGACAGACTGAAAAGGTTTTTAATAACTCTGTGTTTGAGTACCTGGATCGTGTCGTACAGAGACGCTTCATAAGTCTTTTTGAAGCTGGCTCTGATGTCCAACATGTCCACCTCGCTCCTCGACACCATTATCCTCATTAGGGTGCTGTCATCGGTTCCAGCACGCTAAACACAACAACAAACCAAATTTAGCAGCTGCAGTTGATAGTGTAGAAAACAACATCTCCAACCAGCTCTTTAGTGGAAGAAAATGTAAAACACCTCTCTTTTTACTAGTTTCAGATGCTGCATTTTAAACTGCAAAGCTGCTGCATAACTGCAAAAATCATGTATGTATTTCTGCAAATCGTTTTCAAATGCATGCTGTACAAATTTAGATTTGAAAATCAATTAGCACGCTTTAAATCCTGCTTTAAATATGTAGAGTGATTCATCACAACTTGTGCTTGATCATTTTCTTGCCGAGTGTTATTTGAGAAACTTGATTCCATTAACAGGTCGATTTGATTACCTTCGGACAGAGTCAGGTTAGCTGCTTCCCCGTTTTCAGCTTTATGCTAAGCTAACTGGCTGCTGGCTGTAGCTTTATCTTTACCATACAATTAAGAGAGTGGTACCAATCTTTTCCAGTCTGTTGAACTATTCATTTAAACTGCATTACCACACTAATTAATGCAGACTTGACAAGCGTTGCAACTGATTATGTCTCAAATACGTTTTAAGAGTCTGCCAATTGATTTTCATAATGTATGAATTAATTGAATCCAGTCGGAAAAATACATCTAAAACACATTATGCAGTGATTGTATATACAGTGGGTACGGAAAGTATTCAGACCCCTTTAAATTTTTCACTCTTTCTTTCATTGCAGCCATTTGCTAAAATCAAAAAAGTTCATTTTATTTCTCATTAATGTACACTCAGCACCCCATCTTGACAGAAAAAAACAGAAATGTAGAAATTTTTGCAAATTTATTAAAAAAGAAAAACTGAAATATCACTGCTGCAATGAAACAAAGAGTGAAAAATTTAAAGGGGTCTGAATACTTTCCGTACCCACTGTAGATAGCTGTGATATAAAGTGTGTCTGATTTCTAAAACATGCACAACCACATTTGGTTCTTTAAACAGTTCAGACACAGGGGGAAACAGCTCATGTTAAAAAAAACACATCTGAATTCCAGCACATCTAAAGCTCACTAATTAACACTTTGTATCTAATGTGCTCAATTCAAGTGAAAAAAACCGACAAGTTGTGGTTTTAATGGAGAATATTTCTTGACTCTCTGACTTCCTCGAGGCTTGTTGAACTGCAAGGCACCAATTAAATTAAACACATTCTATTAGACAGTAATGAAAGTCTCATTTTGTGATACTGTAAAACACTCTTAAGCATTGGAGGTATGAAGAACATGATACTGTAAAGCACGGACACCTACCCTCATAGACTTATACAGGCCTTCAGCAAAAAACTGTGGGACACTCCGGGCACATTTCACTGAGGAGACAAAAAGCCAATAATGTCAAGGTTTAATTTCTTTCATTTTAATCTGACATGGTATTGGCATTGATTTCTACTGCTGACGTTTTATCTTTTGCTGTATTTCATTCTCACGCGTGACTTGCACGGCTCCCTAAATTAATAGCAAATAAAACAGAATAGAAAAAAAAAAGATGAATGAAATTATAATGAAATGAAATGAAACATGCTGTTCATCCTGATGGTTAAACTCCATGTGGAGAGAAGGGCTGGCAGCAGAAGCACTGTTGATGTGGACACCACTAACAGGGGGGGAAAGCCCCATTCTTTGCCTCCTTTTGTTTGGGATCACTCAAGTGTCATTCTGATAAATCACACTTACCAACAGCCAACAGGAGGTTCTCCAAATTCCCAGTGGTCTCTCCTTCAATGCTGTCCTCTATTTCAGAGCCAGAGAGCTTCTTGTAGGCATTAAACGCTGCAGAGAACAAAACAATAACAGCGACATTTAAATGTAAAATAAACCCTATACGCATTTAAAAGTCCAAAGGACCAGTTTGACTTGACATTATGTGAACAGGACATTTTGACAGATTTATTGCATTGAATTTTGCATTTATTGATCTATAGTATTGTAATTAATCCACTTTATTAGGCACAACATTATCACCCAAAATGACTGATAACACTTAATGATGGACACTTCAATAGCTCAAGTGCAAATGTTACCAAAATGAATTGACGGGGGATTTTGAAAACTGCCGTAGTCGTTTGGACATTACTGCCACAACTTGATCAAGACGACTTGGATACGTGTGCGTCACACATAATATGAATGGATGAATAAAACATGTATGTGAGGCTTATTTAAGTGGTCTACTGGCGCCTGAAACAATCCATTCCACTATATATTAAACAAGCGCTATTGAGTGAATATTCAGAGATAGCCCATTAGAGTCAACCACCTTGAGATGACGAGGTCATGTTTGAGCGAATGCTAAAGAGAGACGGCTCTCACCACAACCTACGCTAATGCATTCCCGACCAACGCATCCTCATACAACAGCTCGTATGGTCTGGAGAGTAATTAGTGTTCTCTCCAGGCAGAAATATCATGATGTGGTTATACTGTGGTAAAATATCTTAAGTAAGAAGAGGTCAGGTTGGAGGATTGGGTCCACAAAATATGTGACGGTCGCATCACAGTCAAATTAAGAGAATAAGATACAATAGAATAAGTATGAGATGTTTAATTCTCTGTATTTGTATCTATTTAAAGATGGGGTTGGTAATCTGGAGAAACCAGCAAGAATACACAAGATTTTATAAATCATACAACTGAAAAACTCTTTTCCAATGAAGGTAAGGTGCAGCACCAGCTCCAAAAGTCACTAAATCTTGCAAGAAAGGTTCCAAGTCTGCAACTCTGACAGCTCGTCTCTTCAGGCCTCCCTCCGAAGCCACTCGCCTAAAGCTATTATGAACGTACGCAACGAACATGGCTGTTGTTAGTACCCACAAGCTAGCAGCTTGTGGAAGACTCTGGCGATGCGCAATGACCACTGATGTCTGATTTTTGTCAAAGCATTAGATTCATTGATTTCTTTTGAGATGTACAGAGATTTTCAACCCTAGCTTTGATTACAGTACTACATTCTATTATTTTGTTCTTCCCACGTAAAACACTTTGTAACGTCTGTTTTGAAAGAAACCATATGAAATAAGTTTATCATTATGGTTCCAGTTGCATAAACTCAATGTTGTTCCAGTGGTCGCTCATTGCTGCTGTTTCTTGCTGCTCGAGTCCACCCACTTTAAGTTTCCAGTGAGTGGTGCCACTGACTCACTAACCAGCTTGAACAAGTCTCACCAATTTTCTCTCTGACGTCTGTTTGTTGCAGCGAGACATTTTTGGACTGCTGCCGGCGGGCTTGTGGTTGTTGTTGATCACACCAATAAACCCTGCAAACTCTTTTTTTTTTTGTCAAGCTCTCACCTTGTGTGTCTGAGTTTTGTGTTGTTCACTTGGGACAAATTGGCCTCTCCTTCTTTATTCTTTGTGTGAAAATAACAATTGAAATGCCAGGATGTACTCTTCTCCCTGAGACGTTTTTGTCACTGATGCATTTGTCAGAATAAGTCACTCATACTGCTCATTCTAACATTTATTGAAACAGTAACTAACCCCTATAAATGCTGTCTGAATTATTTATGCAAAAGAATAAAGAATAGCACGAGAGGAGGCTGATGGTATGTTGTTGTTTGCAACTTTTGATCTGGCCCTCTTCAGCAGTTGACTAACTAATCACACATCTGCACATAACCTTTAAGCAGCCTGGCACAAACCAGCTCACCTTTTCTGAGATGCTCTGCGCTTCTGTTGCCAAGAATTGTGATGAATTTTTCCTCATCTGTGCCAAACTTGCCCTCACCAGCAGCGTACAAGTCCTGTAATGGCAGACACACACTTGTACGTGCAAACTTGCACGTCACAGCCAACCTTGGGTAGAGGTGATTTATTTGAACACAGGAAGAGCACAAATGAAAGCACTGACGCAGGACCTTGTGTTGCGCCAAAACAACTCGGAAACGTTTTGTTTTTCTCAATTTGTCTTTGTTATGAGAGACAAATTCTGGATGTCAGGTCCTTTCACCTGCAGATCTGTGGAAGTTTGGAATGTGTTGTTCAGATGATGAAGTTTTAATTTGTGCAAATTGAGAAATAGCAATTAATTCATACAAATAATTAGATTAGGAACAATTGTGTACTTCTACTTATGTGATGACCAGTGGAATGTAAGTACATTTGCTTCCATTTTATGCTACCTAATATTTTTTTCTCCTCTGCAGTTCAGAGAGAAAATATTTATTGGACACTTAGTTACTTGGGTTTGAGATTTAAAAAAATAACATGCTTATTTGATATGATGCAGTACTATACTACTAATCTAAGGTACAATGTATCTAAAATTGTCTCCATTAAATGTTCTTACGTGTATTTGTTGGTGAAAAAAACTTAACAATAAAATATCAATAATAATGTGAAAGGAGCCATTCTGCATGAGTACTTTTACTTTTGATCTTTTAAGTACATTTTGCTGATGATACTTCTGTACTTTTACTTATGTAACATTTTTAATTCAGGACGTTGACTTGTAATGGGAGTATTTTTCAGACTGTGGTATTTCTACCGTAACTGAAGTAAAGGATTGGAGTACTTCTTCCATCTTTGTGGTGCTGTCATGAGTCAAGCAGTACTGGTGTCTTGATAATTAGTTTTACATTCAGATACATGTACCTTAATGTTTCCCATTATTAGAACCCTATTCACAGCTCAATATCAATGAACCATAATGGTCAAATAGGAAACAAGATGCTCCATTCCCGGAGGTTGACATGCTTTAATGAATTTATCCTATTGACTATTCATCTGAGCTGTCTTGGCTTTCAGCTGCACTTCGGAGAGCAGCCTCACAAATATGATCCCACCCTCAACATGGTGACATTTAAAAGAAGACAGTAAAATTACAGTAAGTTGATCTGCAGCTTAAAGGTTGTGTACTGTACAAGGTTGCACAGGATCTTTTTTGAAGCTATATGTATGTTGCATTTTATAATCACTGAACTCTTACCACATTCATTCAAAGACAATGAATGTTGTAAACAATGAAAGTACAGCAGCTTCAAAAGGTCTCACGGTAGCATTTTCCTTTTTTTTAAAATGGAGCCACCAGACTGGGAGGGTTATGTGCTGGTAGTAATACCACAGTGTAGAAATACTTTGTTGTTTACTTAAGTAGAAGTAACATAAAAAGTACTCATTGTGCACAATGGCCCATTTCAGAATAATGTTTATTATATTATTGGATTATTGATGCTTTAATGTGTTCGTTACTTTAATGTTGAAGCTTATTTTACCTACTTAATTTAACCTATAATAATACATCATATTTTATTCGTCAACACAGTATATTTTGTATTGTTAATCAGGATCGTTAAATTAAGTAGTTACTAAAGTAATCAAGTCAATGTAGTGGAGTAAAAAGCACAACATTTGCCTCTGAGTAGAAGTATAAAGTACCAGAAATTGGAATTACTCAAGTTAAGTACCTTAAAGTAAGTAAGTAAATGAACTTTTTTTCTTAGTTACTCTGGGTTTTGTTTTTATTACCCATGTTCTTCTCGTGTTCTTGTTCCTCACCTTAGCGTCTTTCTCTATCTTCTCCTCGTCTACTCCCACCTCCCTGCTCCCCTTCACAGCCGGACGAATGACAAACCAAACGGAGAGACAGACACACAGGTGGACAAACGCAGGGAAACATCAGGTCAGTGTGAACTGAAAGACAATGAGCTCAGAGCTTCTCTCAACTGAGGGAATCCCTGAAGATGACATTATCTGCTAAATTACCCAGAACCAAGAAGATTACATTTCTGTCTCTAAACTGAAACACAATTGAGAAATCAACTGCTGCTAAACCAAAACCTCTCGTGACTGTGTAATGACACCACCAGAGGCTCTCACTATCAGGAAACATTACTAAAACATGAGTCTCTCCAGCAGCCGCTCTCTGTACCTGCAGGAGGATCACCAGCAGTTTCTGATAGTGACCTGAGGTGTCGTCGCAGATATCTTTCTCCAGCTTTCCGTTGAATTCTGGAGGAAAGAGGAGAAGAGGGGCAGAAGATTGCTTACACTTCCCGTCCACAACAGTCACTAATGGTTGCAATCGACCCTAGTGGGCCGTCCTCCGTTCTGCAGGAGCTTCTGCGGCAGCACAGATCTGATTAGTCGGCCTACGGACAGAGTGGCCTTCTCTTTTATCCGGATCAAATAAACCGGCCTCTTGGCCTCCGGCCCTTGTTGCCACATACAATTTTGCATTGTGGTTTGTTGTAATTTGAAGCTGGTATGTTAAGAGACATTCTTGCTGCGACATATTTGAGTGGAACAGGTGTTAATATAAGTACAGTATATTAATTGCCCCAAAGACAGAACTCCTCCATGTAACAGTGGGAAACCATATGCTGTAAACAGGCTTTGTGCACAAAAAGTCCTCTATTATTTTTTCTCACTGGAGTAAATACTATAGATACTAGAAATCTATAAGTAAGTAAGTAATAAAAACAACGTGTCAAGCTTTTCTACAAGCAACAGTTCAGATAGTTTTTTAATCCCATAAAACAGAATAAATTATTTTTAACATTTCACCCTCTCATAAATAAAACACAGAAAAACATCAGTCTAACTAACATTCACGGCCGACATGTTTATCTGTTTTTGGCTCTCTCACTCTCTTTCACAGCTGAGTGACTCACCTTTCTTGTACACTTTGATGATATCTTTAATCTGTTCGCCGGTCCTGGAGGCCAGGATCTCAATCAGCACGTCATCCTCAGTCCCGGCGCCCTGGGAACCAAACACAATAAGAGACAAATTTGTGCGGCAGCATTTTCTCAGAGCAATATTTAGTTTTATTATCCCGTCTTATGTTTGTTAAAGAGCAATATTAGTGATTAAAACAAACTTTGAAGAAAAACTTCATAATTTGTCAGCACAACACACTAAAGAAGTATGCAATTAGAGAATGAATACGCTCGGTTGAAAGACTTAAAGACAATTCTCCTCTCTTTGCTGCAATTAACCTCCCACGAGAAAAAAGTCTGACACGCCAAACAAATGGAGCAGGTGTGATGGGAATGTCAAGGTCAAGTCCTAAATGCTTTGCCTTCACTTTGATTGAACATTTCATTTGTGCTGGTAATACAAAAAGTAAATGCAATGAAAGAATAATGAGAACAAAAAATAAATATTTCCATTTGTAACTTATAAGAGGATCCAGGAGTTTGCTGAATATATTGTCCTTCCTTCAGACCTTATGGGCCTTCAGCATGGCATAAAAAGCAGCAGTTGGTAAGTATGTGATGCCTCAAAGAAATAAGATCTGAAACATTAATCGTTTATATAACTATTAAATAAATTGGGTAATATATCTAGCCTACAGCACCAATAAATTTGTGTGCTCAGATGTAATGCGTCTACATGAGTGTGACATGTCATCCATTTGAGCCACATTAACGAAGCAGTAGATAGAAGAGACATCTAATACACAACACTGTTCTGTCACAACCTGCACTGTGGAGACAAAACACGTGATGAGAGGCAGTCGCAAAGATAATAAGGCCATATTGCATGATGACATTTAAAGCAGAAACACTGAGAACATTATACCACATGGAAGGTGATTTTCATTATTGAGCACAAAGTGCTGCTTGCGTCCTTGGCTCACATGGTGCTATGCTTCCAGCAGGTTGTTTTTTATGGAAGCGCATTGCTGCCTCTGAAATGTGGTGAATTGAAGTAAAAAGTATCAGAAAAAGGAAATACTAAAAAGGACCTCAATTGTACTTGAGTACAGCACTTGAGTAAATGTATTTAGTTACATTCCATCTCTGGGTAATTCTAAATATCAAGTTATCAGCCATTTTAAATGCAATGTAACGTACTGTAGTTTTACCATAAACGGCTACAAACCATTTAGACATCTTTTAAATGGCAAAACAACATGAAGCAGTCTTTTCTGCTGGCAGGCATTTGAACATTTCAAGATTGCAGTTGAAACTGAGAAAGTCAATAATGGCTGAGATCCATCTACGTGGCAGTGCACTGGTATTATGCATGCTGGTTTATTGGCAAGGCATTAATGGAAGGGAGCCTTCAGCACTGTTTTCCTGCTATGACAAGCTGAAGTGAGAGCCATTAAACAAGTCTATCGCTCAGATGACTGTTGGAACATCTGTGCACAAATACCTGAATAAACCGCATCGTCTGAGGGTTTCAACTCATTTGCATGTAAGACCTGCAATTAAGTGGAGCATCTGAGGAAACATGTCCATTAGTTACCTTGAGAGCTTTGTGCAGTTGGGAAGCGTCATACGAGGTGGGCGGGGTCATCAACGCCACAATCAGATTCTCAAACAGCCCACCGAGCTCGGATTTCAGCGCGCTGACCAGGTCCTGGATGTGGGGAAGAGAGGATTAATGATAGAGCAAGGAAAAACATTTTTGATTGTGTTTGTATTGAACTTAATGTTGCATAACGTAAATGCTGTAAAACATTAAAGAAACAGAACAAATGAGCTGTGTGGTGCTTTTAGCTCCACTCATAGAAATAGTCAATTTAAAATGCGTGAAAAATATTGGATACCAGCAAAGTAGGAATATCATAACAGCATAGTGACAGGAAACATGGACACTTTAGGGCTCCCAGAAATGTAGATTTATGTAAATTATTACAAATAAGCTTGAACATATAAAGAGAGCATTCCCTGTGTCAAGGAGATGAAGTGACATGTCACTGCATTGGCCACATTTTCAGAGAAATGAGGATGATCACGAGAAATGTACCCGCAGAAAAAAAAAACATACTATGTATAAATATATATATATATATATATACACAGTATATAGTTCCTTAAACTACCAGCTAATCAAGCAGCACATATTCTCAGATGACTTTATTGATTTCTGTATGCAATAAATGACATATTCTGGTGCTGCTGGGAGTATGACCCCAGTAGAGTCTGTGAAAAGAGTAAAAGCATCTGTGTGTGTGTGTGTGTCTGTACACACAAAACACCCAAGGGATCCTAGGATCTACTGTGCTTGGCCGGTTCAATATATACGGTCAAACACTCATCTCTTTAATAGCTCAACATGTGAGCCCTCTAACAGAAGATCTTTATTTTTCTAGATTACATAATTCATCTCACTTTGCACATAAAAACTGGATTTTAAATCAAATTCCCATAAAAGGTTTGTGAAAGTAGCAGAAATGACACACTCTAATAGTAAAATGTAGCAGAGAAATAAGACATATCTGACTGTTAAAATATCATTTTCAATATCATAAACATTTTTCTCTTTAATTTTTGCAACCAGTTCTCATTTCAGACGAGCAGTTTATTGTCTCTTGCAATCACCACATTTTATAGCATGTAATAGAAGAGCCTCTGGAAAGCAAATTTGATAAAACACTGCAATATTCAGAGAAACACCAGGAGCTATACTTTGTGATTCTTTTGATGTACCTTTTTACCTCAAGGTGGCTCATCTATTTAAACTTCAGGGTGCACTTACATTTGCTTTTCTATAACCTCCACAGAAATCAAATTAACCTGCTGCTTTCAATCCACAGGTGGTCATAAAAGAACTTCACAGTAAGAGAAGGAGAGCGTTAAAAATGCCCGGCTCTGTATACTGCACTCTGGTCCACAGAGACTGTGAGAAATTGGTCTTCCCGCTTCCTCTTTTATGAATGTTTCCCTGTGCGACTGTTGACTTCTAATAGACAGTGTCAACTCTTGCTCTTTGATTCTTAATGAAAGAAAAACTTGATGACTGAATGACTTTTAAACCTTAGTGAAGCCGAGGCCACCGGTGGTGGAGAAAGTCAGATCGGTGGCCGTGAGCTAACCAGTGGGACACCCTCACATGCACGAATATGCACTAAAAGAATGCGCGACCAGCCCGGCTACGTCAACAAAGCAAGGAGAAGCTTGGATTACATCTTCATTCAGGTGGATATCACGCCACGATATCTTTACACAGCAAATAGTTGTTTATTGCCATTTTAATGCTATGAATCCCATATATTGCACCCTTATTAAGTAAACGCAGCAATGCAACAATGCAGGATGTTCTACATTACAAGCAAAAGTCCTTTATAAGTAGAAGAACAGAAGGAATAGAAGCAAAATAAAAACAAAAGGGCTCCTGTGACTCGCATTGAGAGACAGACAGAAACATTGTTTTGGTCTTTTGACGGTTTGTGTTGACAATAATATAAATATAGATTACTGCCAAGCCTCAGTCTTTAAGGAAAAACAATAATAAGGGGATGGTAGAAAGACAGATAAACTCGAGTAAGCGCACTTTAGCAGATTTCTCTGTGAACGTTGGCGAATGAGGAGGAGGACACAGTGAGACACTGACATGTCCCCTAACCATTCATCGGTGTGACTGCCGGTCGTCATCAGCTCTCTGTTTCGTTCCCAGCGGCTCAGCTTACCTTTCCGTAGGTTTTTTTGTACGCTGCCTTAATTTGCTGGCGTTGATCGTTGCTCCGTGCTGACAGAAGCATGAGGATTGTATCTTCATGCGTACCTGCACCAGAAGTCAAACGAGCATTATGTAACATGTAAAATACTCTGTGAGCTTCAAACAATCACATGCAGCTAAATTATTCTTCTTTTTGCAAAAGGCTAATAAAGCATTATTCTATTTGCACCCATCATCTAAAAGAAAACCTTATTGAGAATAATTGACAGCTTGCAATATACTCCTATATTAACAATTAATAGCTCCTGAAAGTCACCAGCACCTCAGACAAAACGGCTCCGATAGAAAAACAGGCTGTAGGGCAGCACATGTTAATTCCTCTGAGGGATCAAAGTGTTGAATTAGTTCAAGGTAATTATGGCTCGAAGCCCAGCTGATATGTAATGACGGCTCTGACTATAAATAGATGTTGGGTCACCATTGTTCTCCTCACTTTTCCTTTTTGTAAATTCTGCATAATTGCTCTTGTTGTGAAAGGACTAAACTGACATGAAGCAAGAACAGAAGATAAAAGATTGTCAGTAAGGTTATATTTAGCAGGAGAAGCAGCGGTTTTAATGGTCACATGTAAACCTGCAGTACACCTTTAAATTGCTGGTTGTCATCGGGTCCATTGATTTACACTAATGAGCGCAGAGCTGCATTTTCATTACATTTTCTCATTTTGCATCTCTCCAATTAAAATTGAGAGAGGAAAATGGTGTCAAAAGTCAGACTATTAAAACTTTATCTAAATTAATCTTAACAGCCATCAAACAAAGACATAAATTATGTGACATATCCTGTAAATTATTCATCTCTTACAAATGGCCTCTAGGTTAACAGATTTCTGACATTTAGTTTTGTTGGTTTGTGCTCTTTGTCTGCCGTCTACTTTTCCTTTAAGCAACGCATGTACACTAAAATGTAGAATGTTGACGATTTGATAGCCTTAGTACGGTAAATACAAATAAACTGCTGTTGTGGTTGTTGACTAATCTTACCAGTGAACCCTCAAGCATGACTTTTAGTATTATTGAAGTGTTTTACAGAAAACATGATAGAGTGGTGACCAAAATACATTCATTTTCACTTAGAAAAATATTTTTTTCTTTGTTTAGTATCACCTGTATGTTGCCTGTGTTATAACTTTATCACTACGCCTATACACAAATATTTCAAACCATTATAACCAGCAGTCCACCGTCTGCTTCTGCCATCATATCATAACTGAATATAAATTAAATAAATTATTTTCTGTGTCTCTATGTTTGGCGGTCCAGTAAGCGCTCATTACCGTGGTGTTTTTGCAGAGCACTTTGTGGAACTGTGTTAAAGCTCTGACATGTCTTTGTATTTTTGCTATAAAGTGTAAATGTAAAACTTGGGGACACTCGGTTTCTCTTCCAATTAGACCGAACACACTGGAGAGAGTGAAATAATTTCCCATGCACCAGAGGATGGCACTAATTGTTAAGAACAGCTTTCCGGACAGCTGTGTCATTATTATTATTGAACTGGAGCAGAGCAGGCATTAAATTGCACTGTAGAAATATTATCATACTTTTTTTTAAAAACGACTGTATCTATATATACTAATGACATATAGACATGACACAACTGTCATTCGTGGGTATGTGCAAATAAACCTGCTGCAGCTATGACACTCCAAACTGAAAGAAACTGTAGATATGCTCATCTTTCCTATATGAGATATCACATAACATGTTGAGTGTGAGTGGGAAAAGTAAACAGCAGTAGGACAAGGTTAATAAAAACTCACCGATTCCTTTCATGGCTTTATGGAGAATTTCAGCATCGTGTTGGTCGTTGAAGTTGACGAAAGGTCTCACGCTGCCTCTGTACTCCTGTGGGAAGAGAGCAAAACAAACAAATACATTTTTAAGTCATGTAGCGGTGAAGTTGCAGATTGCAACCAACTGAACCGTGTGCCAATCGTGTGGGACAACTGCGGTGGCTGACATGAAAACGCAAATGGCTTTCTCTAGAGCCAGTGTTTGGTTTGTCCATTCTGGGCTACTGTAGAAACATGGCGGCCATTGACCTATTCATGTAGATAGAAACAGCCCATTCTAGGGTAACAATAAACACAACAATTCTCTTTTTAGATAATTATACATTAAAGAAAATACTGGTATTAATATTGCATTACATTTCTGTCAATGGATCTCACTAAATGGACCTGGAAAGGAAATAAAAAAGAATAATTTATCAAATAATAGGCAAAGTGGGTTGCTGTGCCTTTAAGAGATGCTAAAATAAAATGAAGAAGAAGAAGATTTAAGTGCTCTCCAATGGTATAAGTTTCAAGTGCTTCCCTGCCCTCATAAAAATAAAACCATGGGCATAAATAATTTTTAAAAAGATCACTGCACATGACATAAAAATATTTCTACAGGCCATCAAAACCCACCTGGGTTTGAACGTCTTCTCTCCAAACTCTGCGGGTATGTACTTTAGGTATAACCTAAATCAAGTCTGGCTGCTGCTGCTTTGTGTTACGCAGGTAGTTTTAAAAAATGCGTCTCACTCTCTGCTCTCCAGGGAAAATGTAATTTGAAGAAAAGCCAATAAAATATCTGCCTCAGCTGCAGCCTCATAACAAACTCTGAGCAGGTGGTAGAAGTGGAGGAATATTGTGTCCTCCTCTCAGTAAAGGTTTCTGTTTTATTATCTCTTTTATTAGTTTTCAAGAGAACAACCTCTTCTTGCAACATGACGATGTTTATCTTGAAGTGCCACTCTAATACGTCACTGTCACAGCTTTGGCCTGCATGCATCATGAAACAAAGCACAATACGACACAATACACCCTATTTTGTGAGAGTAAAATTAGTCATGAGCTATTTAAACTCACATTTCTTTACTGGGATGACTCATCCCTTATTGCTCAGTAAATGTTCTTTTATTACAGCATTTAGTATTCATCCTCTACAAATACATCAGTGTTAGAACTGTCAAGCTGTCATGATATCATTGTGGTAATGTTAAGCAGAAATACATCCACAACTATTGGATGAATTGTCATGAAACGTGAGACACACACATGTTAAGGTCCCCAGAGGATGAATCCCAATTGCTTTTAATCTAGCGCCACCAGCAGGTCATAGGTTTGAAGGATGAGACACATCAACAACTATTGGATGGATTGCCATGAAATTTGGTAAAGATATTCAAGGTCCCCAGAGGATTGATCATCCTGACTTTGATGATCGTGTGGCCGTTCATCTAGCGCCATCATCAAGTGAAACTTTCACTACACGCTGTGCTTAAGTAGAGACTCACAAAGAAACTAGCATGGCTCTAAAGTCGCTAATATTTGCTCAACAATGGTACTTTTCAAATTTCCCAAAAATGGATCATTTTGGAGATACAAGCTTTTTCAATAACATAGAAATAGTCAAAACCCTATGTAGTTTTTTAGCAATGGTTAAATAACAGTCAATGCTATGTTGTAGGAACTATTCAAACACCATCAGGGAACATTGTCTCCCATCTGTCCTTTGATGAAATTCAAACCCGGTGGGGACACAATAGACACACGTACCTGCAGTTTCCATGCACATGATAATACAATATGATACAAATTAGACCACCGTCATCAGTTCTTCATTACCTCTTATTCTACTCATGCACATAAGACAGTCTGAGATCTCTCAACAAGCTTGAGAGGGTTAAAACAAATCCAGGATATCAAATGAAGCTGCTCCTTTTCTTTTCTGCCAATGTGAGTATACTGCGTTTTGTGCAGCACTAATTTTTTATTAATGAGTGTATTGTCACAGAAAGTCCTGTGAGTGGATTAGGGATCATCTAGAAGTTTGAAGCATCTGTACGCATCAAGTCTCCACAGTGTAGGAGAGATGGGAAAAATGAGGATCCAGGGAAATTAAAATTTTCAGAAAATATAAAGCATCTAGAGTTGCAATCAGAGGCTGGTGCTGACAGTTATTTGTATTGTTTAAGACTGATCATGCAGTTCAGGTCTCAGTGTGGCTTGGAAAGGCGCTGACCTTTCAAGTGTCAAGACACACTCCACTGCACAACCAGTCCTGGTGCAGTAAACAGTTTTATTTCCAACTGTTTTGTGTAAAACAAAGTTGTTTCTTGTACATTCTCACGTATTTTACTTTATCATACTTTGACACTAATGAATTTTACAGAAAATGAAACAAAGAAAGGAAAAACTTACCATCGTTTTATGCTGATTGCAGACAACCGCTGTAAACTGAAAGAAATTGGAACAGATTCCAGATTAAATTGGCAGTGTAGTAAAGAGTGGTGACTACTGTACTTAACAACTAATTCAAGGTATTTGTACTTTACTTGAGTATTTCCCTTCAATGGAACTTTATACTTCTACTCCATTACACCTCAGAGGGAAATACTGTGCTTTTTACTGCACTACATTTGTCTGCAGCTTCAGTTAGTGACTTTTCAGATTTACATTTAATTTCATACCATGTATCTCCAAATTTAATGATTATGAATTTTAAATGTTTGTAATAAACTTAAGGATAAGGGGTTCCTTTATCCTATCCATTAAGCTAAATAAACTCTGCAAAAAGCCTTTTGGATCAGCTGGAAAATACATCATCACAAAGTTGAGAAAACACACCGATGTTTTTCTGAGCTCGGGAAAAGTTGGCTTTTTAGAGATATGTAGTTCTCACAGGACAGCGAGCTACAAACATGTGATGCTGTTATAGAATATGAAGCATTGCTGTAGATTAAACTAGCCAAGAGTAAAAATAAGGGAGTAAAAAATTAGCACAACCTTAAAAATACAGTAAAATACACATGAATGCAGCAGTAATGTTAATCCAGAAACATCATATATAATAGTAAAACACTAACAGAGAACATTTTACTGCACAATAAGTACTTTTTATGTTTCATACTTGCTGATAATACTTTTGAAAGCATGACTTTCACTTGAAGTGGAGTATTTTCACAGTGTGGCATTGTTACTTTTAAGTATCTTCATCTACCAGTGTTAGCATGTCTAAAAACAAAGCATCAATAGAGAGGAATACGTAACTGTAAGTGCTCTTACCAACAGGTGTTTCTCCTCTCTCTCCTCACAGGTGATCTGCGGCTCTCAGGTAGAGGCTCTTTGCCTCCTGATCTCTTCTCCTTTCGGTGGCTGCAGCTCACAAGACTCACTTTTCCTCACTCGCTGTCGGTCAAACGGGAGATCGTGACCCGCGTGCACTCAGTTGCTTTGTGTGACCTTCCATAAAAGTGACAAGGGTCCACAAGGTCCAGAGGGCTAGAGGGTTTCAACTGAGTTGCATTGCTAGGCAACAGCTTGGGTATGTGTGTACTTCCTGTCGGCTGATATCATCACTGCAACCCGAGGAGCTAATGCATCATTTATAGGTTCCTTGTTTCTGAAATGTAATGGATTAGAAGTATAAAGTGGGATGAAATGGAAATACACACGTACAAAAGTACCTCAAACTTGTGCTTAAGTACAAGAGTAAATGTACTTAGTTACTATCCACCACTTAATTATATGAATCTGTGAGTGAGGTTGTCATTCTTACTTAATTCAACATGTATTTTTTGATGAGGTGACTTTTACCTGTCTTTATGTGTCTTTATGGCAGGCAGGAGACAAACAGGAGATGCTCGATAGGAGCGAAGGGATCAGCAGAGCGAAGCACAGCTCACATATCATCATCGCCGTCCTCGTCCCTGCAAACCTTAATTAAAGTGAGCACTTGTGAGTAGATGAGAGTGTGAACACCATCTCGCAGGGATCCAGTTACGGATGCTCGGCGTTTCATCTCACAGCTTCTCCGACTGACGTGGAACCAATTTGCTTTAATTGCTATAAACGAGCAGCTAATAACAAATTTATCAGATTAAGTCTGGATTTTTTTTTCTTTTCCACATAATTGAGCAGTGTTTGAGTACTCGGAAGTTGGTATTAAATGTCAGCAACATTTGAATATTCAGTATCACAAAGCTCTCGTAAAATAGGCTCCAAAATGGAGATTTATATTCCATCTAAAGAATTGGGGTAATTCCTTTAAGCCTGTCCAAACATATTACTGCTTCCACATAAAAGCAATTGAAAAGCTCAACAATCCCTTTAATATTTGGTTCAAATGTTTCCCACAAGATGAAATCATTTGCTTAAGTTTCATCATCTGTTTTGCTTGAACATGTCTCTATCACAAATTCCCAAGATGCATTACAAGTAGAAAAAAACCTCTCTTGCACAGGTATTGCCAGTGTGACATTGGTTAAGTTACCCGCATGCCACCATTGCCTAAAGTTGCCAACCCAGAGGCTGCAAACTGCTGACTTTTGCTTTTCCCTCCTGCTAGCATCCCTGAGTTTTCAGCTTCCAAACTAAATGATTGTGAGTGTTCCAGACCGGAGCGTAGCGCCATGGGACAGCCAGGTAAACAGAGCTGTGGACGGCTCAATTTGTCAGGTGCTGACTGACAGACAATAAGCTCCGTCATCAATCAATGGGCCTCTCCAGCCACCACTGATGGGCTTCGGTTAGTTATCGCCCTCTGTGCTGAGGGCAGGTCTTATCAAATGAAAATAGCTCCATTTCAACAAACATCACCTGGCCTCATGGACCCTTTCAGGGCCACTACAAAAAGCACATCCTGATATCCGAGGCAGTTTTGTGGGAATAATAACTCTGATGTTAGGAACCGTGCAGCTTCAGAATGAGAGTCAGAGTGGATTTATTCTGTTTTCTATTTTCTCTTGCGGCTATTTTGAATACAAGACCAGCTTTTCGACAGAATTACTTCAAAACATGAGAGGCAACAAAATAAATCAGCTGCACCGACAGTCACTACCTGGAGTTGGCTGGTTAGATAGCCTGTAGCCTGTTTGCTATTTTAGATTACATTTCAGTACAGAACAATATACTATATGTTTGGAGATGCATTAGCCCATTTTGACAGTTAGGAAAACACACATGATTAGTTTTCTTGCTGAAAGTTACGACAAGATGGATATCTCTCATCGAACTCTCTGAAAGAAAGCAAATAAACATATTTTTCAAACTGTCAAACTATTCCTTTAATATTCTGATTTGATGCTGCATTTTTCCAGACAAATCTGCAATTAATCAATTTACCAGACACCAACATATTTACAATGAATTCAGCATTACACACAAAAATGGCTACCAGAGGACACAGGCTTTTCTGTTGGAACTGCATGTGTGTGCTGTATTCATGGACATAAGGCACTGCATATATTACAGGATTGAGACGCCACAAATGGTCAAGCAGTGCCAGAGGAAACTATTTCAGCTCACGACAGAGGTGAAAATCATGCAGTCATGGGATCCATCCACACAGTGTCAGACCTCATTAATCTACAGGTCTTTTGCTGAAGGCAGCAAACTCTGAGAGAACCTGCTCAAGGGAAAACCCTCAAGATTTTAAAACAGTAAAGAGATCGCGAAGAGTTTTTAGAGCGATCATTAAAAGAGTCTGAGGGAAAATGTTTACAGGTTCAGCATTTTAGTAAATACACTTATTATCTTTCTTGCCAAGAATTACACGAGAGGATTGGTAATGTCTTTACACGTTATATGAAGCTCGCTGCTGATTAGCTTAGCTTAGCACAAAAACTGGATACGGGGACAAACAGCTAGCTGGCCCGGGTGTGTCTGGAGCTAAGGAAAAATTTGCAAATTTTCATTATTACACTACTCAAAGGATTTTGTTAACTTTAGACATAGCCAGGCTAGCTGTTTCCCCCTGTTTCCAGTCTTTATGCTAAGCTACGCGGCTGCTAACTCCAAAGTGTATTTCCGAAAATATTATTTTTAACAGAAGCCACAAAAACATAAAAATAGATGCTTTAAAAATATTAATGGGGTTCATTACATACAATTTTTTTTTTAAAGTGCAAGTAATTTCATCGCACTGATTAAAACTAATAGTTTCGTTCCTATATATAAACTGTTAATACTTACGAAATGTTAACTATGCTGAGGCATCCTACCCAGAAGCACTGAGTCTGGACCATGTTTGTGTTATTGTGCTGCTCTTTTAAGGAATCATCTGTCGATGTGTAATGAACATGCTCCCCTCAGGGCTATTGATTCCTCTCAGACCATTCAATCAAAGACAGCCTGGCCACCTCCGGACGAATGATGAAAGAAAAATGCAACACAGCGAGAAAAGCACCAAATGCCCCTACCTGTGTATAGTAACCACTTGTAAATACCTGAGAAATAGTGTTATCCTCAGCCTGTTAATATTATCCTTATGCCTCAAGGGTCTCATTTACTTTGTCCCCCAACATAGTGGACAGAAGGGTAACTTGAGAAACCAAGTGGCACACAGCTCCTTTCATATTTCTCATCACTAGCATATCCTCAACATCCCTCCTGCCAATTCATAAATGAGATGAGAGAGCAAATTGCCCTCCTGAATGCATTGCTTTAATCAGCACGAGTCAAAATGCAGATTTAATCTTGGCTTGTGCTTTTTACTCTGCAATGTTTAACCTAGGCTGTCTGAGAGATGAAAAGAAATACTAACCGTGGTTTTAATTACTCAGGATATTGGTAAGACTATTTTGTGCATATTAAATACATAGTGGAAAAAAAAGATGAAGCTGTTAAAATAAGACAGGTTTCAATAAATACTAACATGAAGAGGTTTTTATTAGTTTAAAGAGAATATCGAGTCCAAAACATTTTTCAAACTCATTTCCTTACATTAATCAGCAAAGCACTCCAAACAAGCTTCAGTCCTGGCAGTGTTTTGGCACAACTGTCCCCATTTTTCACAACACGTGCTGCAACCTCTGTTCATAGCAAGGCTGCCTGAACGAGCGGCCAGGCTGCAGCATGGATTTCACCACTGAGTTACTCAGCTGCCGGAGGAGCATCCAGAGAAGGAGCAGCATCAGCACCAGGAGTCCGAGGAGAATACCCACGTACAGGCTCAGGTTCCAGCCCCAGTCCAGCGCCAGGGGCAGCGAGGTGGACGCCACCAGAAATTTTCTGGGGGCAGGCATGGGGGTAAGGCAGCAACCCGCCGCCCCCGCTCCCAAAAAAAAGAAGAGCTCTTTTCCCCCACACTGATCTTCTCAGGGGTTACACAGATGCTGAGCTGTTGCTGCAGAAGCCATTGTTCAAACAGGTATCCAGCTGGTTTGGCCAAGTCATAGAATTCCCATTTGTTCCCAGGGTTTAGTCCTCCAGTTAGGCATACATGCGAGGAGTCTGCGTCAAAGCAAACCTGTTGTGATTGTGTGCATGGTCTGAGCGGTGCATTCTGAGGAAATGGGAGAGCTTTCTGCAGCTGGGCTGCTTCCCCTCCTCTCCTGTGAGGCTCCCCACAAAGCCTCCCAATTTATAACGAGAGGAATTCTACGCCACCGGCTGCCTTTACTTCACGGTCACAGAGAAAATGTAATCACTGATGAGACGTAAAGAACTCATTTACTAATTGATAGGCATGAGCAGACAAGAGGGGGGTAACATTGGCTTCCTTCACATTCATGCCTTTATATTCCCATCTAGGGATTTTGGAATTGTGGCATAATTGTGGAAACATGACAGACTTCATTGAATAAATCATAAATGTTTGTCTTAACACCATTTGAGTTTTTAAGATGTCTGGTCCATAACTTCCCTTAACATTGTAATGCATTTAACACTGATCTGCTCAGCAAAGAAACCTTTGGCGGTGTATTTTCTGGATAAAGCATTAGTGTAGCCTCAGTTGTTAATCACTCTATAGTGCAAAGTCTAGTTTTCCAAACCGCAAGATGCAGAATCACCACTTTGTTAAAAATGTTTAGTTCCATCAGAAGAAACCTTTAAGGACCAAAACTGGTCCTCTGCTGCCCCCATGAGTCCATAGAACATGTAGAAATGAAGTCTTACTTTAAATGAATTTTATTTACAAGAGCCATATTTTACAGTGCAGATGGTGCCTTGAAAAAGGTGTCAAATTCCAAGACACCAATGTAATTAGACAGCTGACTCCATTACAGACAAAATGTACTTTAATGTGCATCCCATGAGGCCCTAACGGTTGCCCCTCTCAAGATGAACCAGCAACATTAACTGCAATCAACTCAACCTTTAAAAAAAAAAGTTGAACAGTTCGGTTTTAGTACACAGGTCTATTGGAGTTTGACACTAGATCAAAGAATTTTACATTTTGTCTGCGATTAAAGGTAAAACTGCTTGATTACCCAAGAGTAGCGTCTGGTATGAATGTAAGGATTGAGTATATAAAAATACTTTAAAAACTCTAAACATAGAGCGCTACTCCAAGAAGAGCAGGCCATGTCATTTAAATTCTGAAAAACATTATTAAAAAAAAAAATACAAAAGATAAAACTGACAGGGTACAAAACTCTACATGGACGAGGGAAAGTTAGTTCAGCAGCAATTTAGTTCAGCAGCAATTTAGTTGGAGCATCGATGAGGGAAACTTCTGAGTATCTGGAAGAGAAACAAACCGCTTTAGAACATTTGCCAGACAAAAAAAAAAATAAAAAATAAAAATTTAAAAAAAAAAAAAGATTACAGTGAATGAAAGTTTAGGAGCAGCAAACTTACTTGGGGCCCTTGTACTTCTCCCGAACAGACTGCTGGGCGTGCTGCGCAGCACCGAGGAAAGTTTGGTGCAGATCCTCAACGCACGGCATCAGATCTTCGAGTGAGTAGCCAGTCTTCTCTGTCATGGACTTGGGCTGAGGAGGAGACAACTGGAGTCATCTTGCTTGTTTGCACAAGCCCACCGTTACCCGTTCAGGGGACACCGGACGGTCGAACACTTTCACAAAACATCCTTGACTCCTCCATTTAGACTATGCTACCTCAAACTTACCCATGAGCCACCAGTCACGATGTGGTTTGCCAGCATGTAGGCTGCAGCAGCCGTATGTGATGGGAGGTACTTCAAGAAGGGGTCTGAATCAACCAGACTGAGCTCCCCAAGGTACTGAAAAGAAAATTCAGAGGTTGATCTTTTGCTAGACTATTCTTTGAGTGCCAAAGTAGCATACATACACACACTATATACATACATAAAATCGAAATGCTTTGCTCACCATTGCCAGGCTCTCCACCTGTTTGTTAACTGAATGGTGAAGGAAGTACTGGGTGAGAAACTGGGTGATGGTTGGTGCTGCCAGATCAAAGGAGAGCACTTTAAGCACCAGATGCTCCATTCTTAACACTTGCTTCTTTGTGTAAGTGTCGTCTGTTATGTACACAAACTCTGCCACCTCCGGGGGATAGATCTCCTCAAATTTCCTGCGTTTGAACATTATAATTAGTCACTTACGCAGCAGGAAAGACTATTTGGTAACATATACTTTGTAATTTAAGTAGCGTGAATAAAACAGACTGAATATAATGGCTACATACGAAGCCAACAGCATGGCAGCAGTCCCAACCAGCTGAAGTTTCCCCCTCAGGACCGACATGGAGGAGAGGAAGCGATCGATGTAGTTTACGGCCAGATAAAGCGTCTCATTCTGGAGCTTGTACTCTTCTCCAACCTCGACGAGCCAGTCCACCAGGATGGCCCTCATGCTGTTTGTGATGTCAGGCTGCTTCTTCATGTAGCCTGCTTTGGGTCTGGTTTTTACCTGTGGAGCATTGAAATGTACTTTCAGGCAAAGTTGATATTTAAGATTATTAAATGCATTTCTAGAAAGGACTCATGAGTATATTATAACTTGCACGCTGCGGCTAAAAGAATTGTTAAAGCGCAGATTCAGTTTGTAGCTTTCCACTTAATGTCTCACCTCCATGTCCCTCAGGTACGTGTGAATTTCCACAGCATACTCTGGGACCTCGTTTACATCGACCGGTTTCTCCTCCCCCTCAACCACAGACATGTCCATGGGCGAGTCTGAGGAATGAAAAGTGATATCGCACAGTGAAAGTCTTTAGATTCTTCCCTTCAAATCTATAAATAATGCAATAGTAAGTTCGGGAGTGCAAAGAGAACATTTGTTGCCAAGAGGCGTAACTGAACAACCCACCAAAGCTGAGATCCATTGCTGCTGGCATATCAATGGGGGCCAAGGGCTGTCGGAGCCGTGCCGCAGTATTAATCGTTTCAGGGATGGACTTTGCTTTGACGGCATCGACCACCGGCTGTGGCTTCTTGATGCAGGCTCCATCGGGCTCGTCCACATGGATCAGGAAAGTGGACAGCTTTGTGGGGGGCTTTTCCGAGCAGTTTTTGCCCAAGTCTTCATTTTTGCAGGACAAGGACTGTGACGACTCCTGAAAGCAGAAAACAAGGTTAGTTCAGAATTGTCCCACAAAAGAGTTATCATTTCTGCAGAACAACAACAATTCTGGTACAACACATGCCAGGGAATACAATTAAATATTCAGTGATAACTTTTTTTTTTTTAAAAGCCTCAACATGCTTTGGGATGAAACGAAGTGCCAACTTGTTCAGGCAACCAAGAGGCAGTTTATTTAGTTAAAAAAAAGGCAGGAGCAATTATTGCACAACAAACATTTACAACATTAGAATCTGCGCCAGTACTATCTTAATAGGATGTCAGAGAGCACTTGTTTAACACTAACATTGTCACTAGTGAAGGCGGGAGAAACTCATCATTTCAAATATTTGTATCACAAAAACAGGTCGGTGCGCAGTTTAATTTAAGCAGTAAAATGTGTAACACTTATTGCGATATTAAAATGGCGGACAATCTGACGTAACAGACGTAGCTAATTTTAAAGCTATATTTCAATACATTTTACACGTTTTAAAACGTTTAAACGGGCAGATTTTATGCATTTTAACTGGCAAGACATCTGCAATTCGTTGCCCCCTAAAAAATAAATATAATAGCAGTCCCATCATTAGCCAACACTAGCTCGAGCCATGTAGCATAGTTGCCCCGAACTGACCTGTTTGGTGCCGCGCTGGTTCTGGGCTTTGCTCCGCTGGTTGTTCTGCAGAGCTCCCAGCACGGTTCTGCTGCCGGCTGCGTGTTTCGGTGGAAGGTTCTCCTGGTTCTCGTTTGCAGCAGCTCTGGGTTTCAGCGAGCCTCTCAGTCTTGACAGCATATTCTCTTGGTTGTGGAGCTCGCTAGCCGCGCTAGCTTGTCCTCTGTTCACGTTAGCTCCGGACATGTTTGCGCTCAATAGAAACAAACTCGTATCTGTCTGCTTATTAAAAGGTACTAACGTTACAGCCGAGGTGTGCCCTTGTACATACACTACGTAAATATATACAAAGTTTCAGACGATCGCGTGTGGACGATTATGTGGAGGCTAGCATTAGCTGCTACCTTGCTGAGGCAGGTTAAAACTAAGCTGTTGAGATGGCAACGACTCGTGGAACTGCTGAGTTAAATCACTCAAAAACAAAATGGACAGATGGCGGTACAAGTTTCAACAAGAGGTTAAAAGTGTTATTTAAGCCGCCATACTCGTGAGTTTGTAAATTAGTACTACTAACCTGCACATGAAGCCCAGCTAGCCTCGGTCCACTAACACAGAAACATGCACAAAAAGATGCTGCTTTCTCTCAGTTCAAGTAGCCCGCGAGGATTGAAACGGGCCAATCACAGGCCACACAGTTAGTGACGTTACAAGAAGTACGGGAGCCGAAAGAGTGCAATGTTCGCTTGATTGCAGATTTAAAACCGGTTTGACAAATTTGAATGTAATGGTCGCGAACGTTATTTAGGGTTAACAGCTGCAGGAAGAAGTACTCAGAGCTTATACTTAAGTATTATTACCAGTAAAGTCCTGCATTCAAATTATGAGCATCAAAATGTGAAAAAAATACTCATTATCACATGCATGACATCCCTGGATTATAATTATTAATGCATTAATATAAAGCTGATACGGGTAGAGCTCATTTTATTTACTTTATATACTGCTGGCTGGCTTAATTAAAAGTAAAATATCATATATATGTTACAGTATATATAATATAGTTGACTTATATTTTGTATTAACAAGCTGAATCTGCACAGAAATTAAAGTGATCAAATAAATGTGGTGTATTTAGTATGAAATTGGCGTGATGTGTGGATCATCTTAACCACTTTACATGTTGAGTGGTTTGGTCATTAACACGGCTTCGTATTTCATAAACTGAAACCACAGCTGTCAAATAAATGTATTAAAAAGTTCAATATTTTTCTCAAATGAAATACTTGCTGTATTGCAGTAACATTGATGTCTTAACATTTAATATTATTCTATTTCATTGTATATATTGTGCATTTTTATACTCAATATTTTTACTCTGTTACTTTGATTGCTTACCTGTATCATAATGCTGCTGTAGCGAACAAATTTCCCCTTGTGGGATTAATAAAGTATCTATCTATCTATCTATCTATCTATCTTCCAGGTGCCACCTTATTTTTGGTTCTTGGAAGTTCATAAATTTAAATAATTGTGAAGATGATACAGATTTTAAATAAGGAAACATGCATGGTAACTGATTCATTGACTTATAATTTATAACAATCAATTGATTGCAGACCTAAGTGTGCGGTGTGGAAAAAATAATTTGTCACATATGGCTCATGGTATCGTATGAGCTTTTCCTTCCTGTGGAATTTAATATTCTTAGTTGTGTTTGTTCACGATACTCGAATGATTTTTACAAAGGTTACAAATAACCTCTTTTATTTCAACAGGAGGAACTCACAGTGCTATGATAATTATGATATAAAAACATACATTCTCTGGCTTACATTTGGTCACTAATAAAGAGAGGAACCTGCAGTAATCTGGAAACCTTGTAGTGGTTTATTAATTACCAACCTTGGTTGTATATGCTATCAAAATATATTATAAATATTTAAATATTGTACACCATATTTAGGACAAAACATCTAAATGACGACAACAACATGACATCGACACTGCTAATAACTACAATAAAACAACACTTTTGTATTTACAATACAAAAATAGCACAAATAAAGCCACTCAAAGTAAATAAATACCCTCTGATCCACATGACATCATGCCTCATTGAAAAAGTCCAACAGAGAATTTAAGTCATAATTGTCGAGTATCTCCAGCAACGAGGACACTTTGGTTTTCACGTTCTGTCCTTTAAACTTGAATTTATCGATGAAGAGGTCTGTGATCATTCCTACAGGAAATAAAGAAGAAAAGAAACGAGTTACAAGCAGCCAACAAGCTCTTCTTCATAATGTCAGGTTCATATAGTAGAACTTTACCTTACCGGTACCAGTACTCTTGTCTCTTTAGCAATAACTTGACAAATGTAAAGAATAATAGAAGATACATGGAAGGGAGGAAGGAAAATAAGTTCAGTGAAAGTGTCTCTGGACATGAGAGGATAATGAAAATACCATATTGTTTGTAAGAAGACTATGAATGAAGTCAATTGGTATCCAGAGTTTTGTCATTGATTAATCATTACTGTATTTATTACATCTTAATTTATCTTCATATTATGTATCGTCATACTGCTTGAGCCGCAACATGTCACTCTTATCTCAATAAGATTTTCCTAAATCCAAAATAATTTCTTTGGTGATTATCTTTGCTGAAAGATGTGACTCATCTTCTCTTCTCTTCAGAAAATACAAACATCTATCATTGTTTTATGTAAACATATACCAGACTTGTGTATTCATGTATAGATATGTACAACTAACTCGTGACTTGTTTGACACTTTCCCAGAATATTTTTAAGTGTTCCTGAGCCATTCACTAATATATCACTAAGACACTTCAAGGACTTTTATCTTCCGTATTGTCGAACTTCCGTTTATCAATCAAGGATCATGTCTCTGGAACAACCTACTCTCATCACTACAATCAACATCTACATTATCGTAAATCAAAAAACATCCGAAAAGGATGATATTTTTACTATCCATTTTTGACTTCTAACCTCTCCTGCACAAACATTTCCTGAAATTCTTATTGTCTTTTTTATATATGTGCAAGTAAATAAATAGTGCTGCACCGTAAAGCCTCTCAAGGTGCGCTGGCTGCTTCTTGTACTCCTCGAGGAGATTCGCGGACTCATCCAAGATGTTGCGATACTCTGCGATGAGGAAGTCAGCGTTCCCCTCATGAACCTGAAGCTCCTGCCAATCAGAGAAACCAGAGAGGAAGTGAGGTGGAGGAAAGTGAGTAACGAACAAAATGAATTTCAAAAGAAGCTGTTCAACTTGAAGCTCTTAACCAAACCAGACATAACACATCTCCACACACAGTGAATGTATTGAAACGGGATGAGAGGATTTGTCCTTTAAGACGACACATTTAACCAATACGTACTTTAAGTGCATCGATAAGCTGAACTTTTCTAGCCAACAACAGCTGGTACTGCAGCTTTGGATGTATCATCTTCAGAGTGTGGCTCACAGAGTCATCATTGATGTCTGGAAGATTAAAAAGAACAGTTAGTCTAGTTTGTTAGAGATTATTCCATGAATGTTTTTGTCAGCAGACACTAAAAATGAATAATAATACACCGACCGTATGAAATGTTCAGATTGGTTTTCCTCTTGGTGGCTTCTTTAGAGAGAACATCATTCAGGATGGAGATGGTAGAGATGTTGTCTGACTTGAAGTGACCTTCACCTTTGCTAAAATGACACATTAAAAAAAAAGCACGTTTGATTACAAGTAGATTATCACACACGTCCCGGCCGAATCAGTAGAAACAATATATAAAACATAAATAAAACGTTTCTCGGGCATCAGAAAGGTTATAAAATGCTCCAACCCCATGTCAGTTATCTCATAATCCCTACACATGTTTATGCTGTTTAAGAAGACTCTTTCCACTCCGTGCTTGTGTTTACCAGTAGGTGGCTTCAAGCTGTGTCCCAAGAAAAGTGTTGTGGAAATAGAAAGTGATGCTCTCTCCTGCCGGTGTTTTCTCAGGCACCTCTGGCAAACAGAAGACCACCCAGGAGTGGATCTCAGCGAAGCTGAACTGTCCCACCAGACTGAGCCTGTTCATGGGCCTGTATGACAGATAGAGGGACAAATAACATACATAATGTGTGAGGTTAAAATCATGGGGAAACAACTGACAGATGACACCAATGTCACATGATCTCATTTTAATGATAAGTGATTCAAGACAAAACATTGCATAATATGAGATCGGGAGTATTTTCGGTTTAACTATAATGCCTATAATCAGACTGAATTGCCGTTTCGTTTCACTTCATTCATTCTGAACAAATCTGACGTGTGCAGCCATTTACAGGTCTGGAACCAGGGTAGCGCTCCAGTGGGATCGACATTAACACAGAAATAAGGACCGAAGAAAGCTTCAAGATAGGACTTAACTACTGAATTCAAATCTAACTGATTAGAATATTCTTAACTTTAACCTTTTACCTTTCCTGGTCTATGCTGTGTGTCCGCTGGTGGAGGGACAGAGGTTTGATCTGGTACTGGCGGACCTGGCATGTCTTGGGTTGCAGTCTGGGGGTAATGTAAGCCTGGAGGGTCCCGTACTGTCCCTCGATGGACCTCACCTGGAACAGTTATTACAGATGAAACGCGGTATTTCTCTGAGGTGCATCATCAAATAGTTTAAGCAAAGGGAACAGAGTTTGGATGCAAGTGTTACCTTGAGCTCCAGTCTGGTAGTGTTTGCCTGACATCTGTACGTGGCCAGGAGGAAGTTCCCATTAGGCTGCTGGAGACAGAATAAGAGCGTCGGACCTCTGGGAGCAGCAGGTTCATCACCCTTTTTTTATAAAGCATGTGTAGAAAGAGTTTAAACAGCTCACCTCTGAATCACATTCACTGAAACTGACAACAGCAGAGTTCTTATCCACATCCAGCAGGTCTATGGGGACGTCGCTCTGCAGAGGAGATTCATCTTTAAGTTACGTTTTGCATGTTTATGCCTCCGACATGGGGTCAAGGACATCGCCAGAGGTTTGAAAGGGCTGGGGTTATAATACTGAGCAGACCTGCAGCAGCAGATTGTCGATGGCAGTCTGCACCTCAAGAGTGAGGCTGTAGCTGGCATCGTCTTGGCAGAGGGTGAACTTGTCATTGATGCAGAAGACGGGCACAGCAGAGACGGCTGTGCTCGACTGAGAGGTCTGCTGGTACTGCTCTCGGCCCTGCAGGACTTTAACCTGCAGCTGCTCCAGCTCTGCCCTGGGAGGGAACAACACGATCTCTCTTGAAATCAAACTTAAACCATCGCATGGTAGGTCAAACGCATCAAAAAGCACAAGGACATGCTGTGTAATGAGAAACTGAGGCACTTTTTTTTGCTGTCACCTGAGTGCTTCTACTTTGGACTGGATCTCCTTGCTCATTCTGACCTCGTCTCCGGGGCCGGCCTCAGCCTTCTGGGGCTCAGTGGTCAGACCAGTCACCCATCCTGAAAGAGGTGATGACAGGACAGCAAAGCAGAATAAGCTGTGCATATCAGATCTCCTTCAACTCCTTTACATTAACAGTAAATGTCAGACAGTCAGGAATTACTGTACATCTATTGAATAGAACGTATTGCAGATAGAAGACATGTTTTCTTCAGTGCGAGAACGTTTCTGAACATTAGGTGCATAGTTCTTTTATTTTTTATCCAACCTGTGTAAGTGGCAGTCAAGACCTCATCATAAGACTCCTTCCCCACGCAGCCGCCCTGGATGGAGGTCACACTCTCTGACAACACCTGAAGGCAGAAAAACAGAGAAAACACATACAAAATAACAAGGTATAGAAAAGGCCAGTAAGGTATCTATATACAGGGATCAGCTGTTTTAAATCAAACTGTACAGTAAGTATGAATGCAGTATAGTGTCGCTGCATGATACTGACAAAACAAAAATCATAATCTGTGGTTAAACAATATAATATATTAAATTGTAATTTTAAAAGTACAAATCGGAGTGATTTGGGTTGGAAATGGGAGGGAGTAAAATTGATGCTCGGCATAAACTCACATGCTCAAAGCGTAACGTGGGCTCACTGGAGCTGTCGAAACCAAAGACCTCAACCGTTCCATCGTCCCTGCCCACCAGGATGTCATTCACGCCGTCTCCCGTGATGTCATAGGTGTCGATGCAAAGAATTCCTGATGAGAGACAAGATCATACTCAAAACAGTCAAAACTGTTGAAAAAAAACATGCAATATTGTATCCTTAACAAAAAACATAAAGAAGATTAATTGTGGATGAACCTTTATTGTTTCCCCACCTTGAAGAGTTGATATTCATATGATGTGGAAAGGTTGGTATTAAACATAGAAGTGATTCGTAGTGAAACAGCTAAAACACATTACTGTGATCATGTAAAGAACAAACCTCCTTTCTTTTTGTCGTTGTCGATCTCCCATTTGGTCGCAGCTGCGCTCTCACCGATCTGCACCAATCCTATTTTGCCATCAGTAGTTCCATAGAGGACTTCCTCACCTGCAGAGAAATCAATGACGTTATAGTATGAGATCCCTATAAAGCAGTCTTATGTTTTATTGTTCTAGTACACAGCACACAGGAAGGTCAACTTGCCTCCATCTTTGTTGTATAGTTCCAAGACAGATGGAGGACCAGGGACTTCAATATCATAGGCAAGCTCTGATCCCTACAGAATAGAATAACAACACATAGAATAATAAATATCATCTAATTGTTTTGACGTAGAACAACAAAACGTATCAAAATGAGAATAGGAAATATAATCTGTCTACCTGCAAGACTCTGAGAACCCGATCTTGGCACGCCAGGATGGGGCGAGACAGGTTTTCTGAAGACAAACATGAGATGTCATTGATTTTGTCTCCAGAGAGGTAGTAGTGCTGGTCCTTACAGTCACAGTAGTGATTGAAGATGTAACTCGCGCACACAAAGAGGTCAGCGCCGGACACATGCCTGGAAAAGAGATAATCAATAGTTAAACTCACACAGTTCTGCATGAGTCAATCAAACAGTGTACGTCAACCGAAGAGGGGAGAGGTGATTCCTACATGGCGTTAATGCTTTCAGTGAGGTTGGCTTCAAAGGTGAGGAACTGTTTGCCTTTCTTGGTGAATCCTCGGACATGAGAACCAGAACAAACAAAGACCTTCTCCTGGGGAGTTCCTGCAGCTCCTCCAAGGTCCAGTCTGGCTATTTTCTGCCCTGGCAGTGTTTTAAACACGGGCTGAAACAGAAGAGTCCTCAACATTAGAAACTGAAATTTAACACATTAAGATACAACTGGCTGTATGATAAGGACAGAAAAATCTGAACACTCACCACTGCTTCTCCCTTCTTCATCCCAAAACATGTTAGTATACCATCATGATCAGCAACAGCAACCTGAAACAAAGAGACAACGACCAAGAAGCTGTAGAATGAAACCCTTTAATTAAAGCACAAAACACAGCTACAAACTCTTATAACTGTAGGCACATGGAGAAGCACAAACATCGCTCTGACAGATTCATACCTTTTGAGTTGCCTTTTTCCCCAAAGCTGGAAGCAGCCTCATAGTTTTCTGGGATGTCACACCGACCTGTGAGGACAAAGCAGGAGAAATTGTGTTAAGCATACTGACAAAAGTTCCTTGAGGGAAACACCTTGGAAAACAATGCAGGAATTAAAGGATTTCTGTCGAAACAAGACAGATACATTTGTTCACGCATTTATTTTTCAGCAGGCTAGACTACTTCAATGGTGACTTAGCAAAACAGCACCTCAGCTCTTTTAAATCAGGGAGTAAAACATTATTGTTTGCTGTGACTTTCAAGTAAATTACATCCATAACCTTTTATGCTTGCTTTTGTTTACGTCTTTTAATACATATTTATAATATAGATTTGCTTGTTCTAGGTTTTTAGCTATTTATTTGTGCTTATAGTTACATAAAACAAAGCAAGAAATATACAATAACATGAGAAAATGCACAGCAATGGAGACTTGTTCTGTAAAACTGACTAAAGACCAACAGACCTGGTGATAGCAGTGGATCTGACAGTAAATGTCGGAATAAAAGACTAAAGTACTCTGCTGTTACCTGGATGTAATCAACTCGATTGAGGTGGATTTCCATCTTCTTTCTCCACTGGGTGTTTTTATCTTAGAACATTAAAAAGTAACGTCAGGTTACCAGTCATACTACCGCAGAGATCACCAGTTACAGTCCACCTAATGTCATTCACAACTTAAAGTAACGGTGAACAGAGAGACTGGAGATTATCTAAAGCGAGGAGATTAGCTCGGCGTGCTAACGTTAGCTAGCAAGCTAATTGGCTAACAGGATTTACTAGCACGCCAAAAAAATATATAATCTTTAACTAAATCTACGTAGCAACAGCAAAACTATAAATATATAATATTGTTAAATCGACTATAAACCTCTTTTAACGCGGATACTAGCGGTAGTTATGCTCAGTTCTCTCAAACACTTCAGAAGCGGATCAACGCAGCACTTGTTGTCAATGGCAACGCTGCAGCAGTAACAAGCCGCGACGCCATTGGACGAGACTGAATGTGATTGTATCCGTGTCCTGATTGGTTGACTATCAATGACGTTCTATTGGTCGGTTCTGAGCTTGTGTATCTAATGTAACTCAATATAACAGCTTTGCTTTTACGATGTTCAGTTTTTTATGACATTGCGGTAAATGTTTGAATTAAAATACAGTATTTACATTTTTTTAATCATCGGCCATATATTTATTATGTATAATAAAATAAGTTATGTATCAATGATTTATTAATGTGGTCTTAAACTGGACTCTAATTCTTTATCCCCCCTAATCCCAACCATGAGGTGAGCATAATATTAGAAACACCTCTGAATATAATGCAGACCAGTACAACACTACAACTAACTACCTCAATGCTAAAACATATTTAATTAACATAACAGTGTCACAAACACTTGAACATTATGGGAAACACAAAAGTACTTCATGGCAGTTGTATTGGAGATTGTGTACTGAATACAGTGGCCACTAGGTGCATAGTGTACCTAAATGTATGCTAAATGTAATATGGGGTTCACACTATTCGATAAGATAAAGAAAAAAAAAATTATAATAAATCCATCCACTGATGAAGGATGGAATTGAAAGCTGGTAAAGTAAAAAAAAAAAAAAATGTAAGTAGTAGTGTGTATAGTAGTAGTAGTGTGTATGTGTTGTATTAGTAGTGTAGTATTTGTGTAATATAAGTGTAGTAGTGTACTACACAATAATAAAGTAGTGTTTCTGCCTCTCAGTAGATATTTGGATCAATACACACTGTCAACATAGACATTTATGTATTTCATATTTATGATTTTATGCAAAATGGTTCATTAATTTAAGATGTTGATTGTAAGGCCAAGATCAACTAGAGATATCTAACCAAATTATAAACTCAAACCACATTCCTATCTTTTCATATTTTATTGGTTTAATTAAGAGATCATTTTGTTCTTGTCATAAAAATGTGGTTTGTCTGGAGGCAAATAAACACATTTAACACAGCAGAAACAAAGCGATGAGAGCATGCGTTAAGCATGGAAACTACAGAGCAACAAATAGATGAAGCAAATTCAAAACAGCTTTCAAACTGATCAACAAGGTGAAATGTGACACGACAGGCATTGTGCAACTCTCCTCAAATATGAGTCCTACAGCAAAATGTCTGGTACCTTAAAATATTCTATAAAATACAGCAGATATCTTGTTTTTCAATTCAACAGCTATTTTGACATCATACATACATTGATCTTTGCAAGTTGTTAAAAGAGTGTGTTGATGGCATTGATAGAATCCATTTTAATTTAGGCAGTTAAACAAATCAGAGCACTGGATGCTTTGCACATTAAAAAAAAAAGAAAAAGGAATTGGACCACATAAAAACAAACCCCATCCTCCATCTATCCAAGCACAATATGATCATGTTAAAAAAGAACATTAGTTATGTATAAGCACATTTCATTTAAGTTACTAATCTCAGAATGTTAATGTTTTTTTATCATAGAATACATGATTTTCATGAATAAATAAGGACATAAGGAAAAAACAAAAACAGCCGGTAGGTACAGATCACAGTTGATGTCTGCTGTGCTGCATTCAGTGAACGTAACGGAGTGAGGGGTGTCCACCGCTTGAATGAGGTCACATTAAGAAGATGGGAAAGGAAACATCACCATGAGACTTCAGTGCATTACTGGCTGCTCTTCAACTGTACTCAAATATACAGAGAATTTGGAGGCGCAGAGGCTGAAAAGTTGACATTCAAAAAACAGGTCCTTCTGTTGATGGCAATGTCTGTCCTCATCAAAGTTTAAGTCACATCTTAAATGGTGGAAAACCCAAAAACGGAAAGAAAACAGAACCTCTACGTAGTTTTAAAATCAGATGCCCGTGGGGGCGAGGCGGCTGATCAAGGCGATGCTGCTGAGGCACATCTTCCTGAAGAAGGCGGGGCAAATGGGCTTCATGATGAAGTGCTCCAGAAGGATTCGCAGCTCTGTGAACAAGGTGCTGGGGTGGAAACAGATTTGTTTAATACTTTGTTTAACACATGTAGTCTGACCAACACTGGCTTTGACAGGACATACAGTGCGCTCTCATGGACAAACAATCTGCGACACCGTTTCTGAATTACCTTCAAACATATCTACAGGTAAACAGCAGCCAAAAACTTTGAGAATTATACAGAAACTTTCAAGGTTTCTTCACCCCTGATTCGGCAGTATTGACTAACTTGTTGTAGATTATCATCAACATAAATACCCGAACACAAATGATTGTATTATTCATCATCTCACCGGCAGTATGGGTTTCTTCTGGATGTGTAGCGGAGGGTGAGGAATCGGTAGTAAATGAAAGGCAGCAGCAAGCTTCCCTGGCCACTGTTAAAAAGATAAAAGTGAAAACTGACATTACACAATTGTAGCTTATTCAATAAAGCTGACTCATGGGGTGAATTTTGGTAACTGGGATTTCCAAGATTGCATTTTCTTGCACTTCTATTTTCAAATCTAAAAGGCAACTTCAGTGTGTTCTTTAAGGGGTTTGACAACACGGAAAACTGGTTGGTTTTGTTCCTCATAATCTCTCCCAGGTATCTTTGGCAACACAAGATCGGTAAGCAGATCGATAAGCAGAAAACTGTCTAAGAACACAATCGCTACTTCTACCATATCGTCATCCAGGATCTGCAATGTCTCGACAATTAAAAAGAACAAAAGAAAGAAACACTTTTTACCTGAAGAGCATGAAGACTGTCGCTGGCATCAAGAAGATCTCGTTGCAGGCGATGAACTTCAGGATGTTCTGCTGATTGGACGTAAGTTTGTCCAGCAGGTTTCTGATGAACATCAGGCTGCTGGGGCCCACAGACTGCAAACATTAGAACATCAGAAGCAGACGAGACAACAAAGCGGCAGTTAGTCAAAGGCTTCAGTGACGCACAGATGCTCTAACTTCAGTTTCACTGAGACTTTAGGGTTGAATTCAGGTATCTTGAGTACATAATTAAAACAGAATGTGGCTGGTGGTCATTTTCTACTCGGGGTCAACCATGGGGTCATACGTTTTTAACTAACAGCATTGAAAATGTCAGAGCGGATAACTGCTGCTTCATACTCACATCCAGGACTTTCTTTGTGTAGGTGGTTGCGTGAAGCACAGAGAAGAGGAAGACTGGGAAGATGCTCACTGGACACAAAAGTTAAGGATTAACATAAAAAGACAGAGAAACCCACACCCACAGTGATTTGGTGCAGTTATGAGAGTTGTATATTTTTAGATTATTATATGTTTTAATGATTAAAACATGGGATCATTGTGAGACTAATCAGAACCACTGAGTGCATCCACGTATCTTCTCCCAACATTAGTAGGTGAAAGGATACTTGTGATGGGGTAGGAGTTGACCAGGATGAGCGAGTAGAGCAAGTAATGACAGCTATCCTCCTGCAGAGCCTGGGCCAGGAAAGCTCTGCTCAGCTGAAAGCGTGGAAGCCTTTGATGCAAGCGGAGGGCGCTGGTGAGGGCGTTTGCCAACAAGGCTCGCTGATAGAAGTTAGTTGCTGCATAGGGTCTGAAATACACAAATATATTCTGACATTAATTCATAGCTGGGTGAAAGCAGTGTGTTGATGGTGTGCACCGTCACTGATTGTACTCACCCCAAAATTGGTAGAATAAACATTACGGAGCAGTAGACTGTGAAGAGTCGTGAAAGCCACATTGCAGTTTCCAGCTTGTTGCTCATTAAAAATTGCTGTGGAGAAAAGAATATACAGTCAGGAGTTTTGGGCTGATAAAAGTTGAACCTGTGTCATCATGAGTGAAGGGTGTAGAGTGCAGTGGTAGCTGTGCTTGTGTTTGATGCAAAATGTTGGGACACCAACTGTTTGTGTAGGCTGAGTAGTATTCCTTATGATGAGTATCTTTGTCTGTAGAATCAGCAGAGTGCATCTTACAAGGTAAGACGTAGTTGGAAGGTGTAAGTGTGTGTTGATCAAACACTTACCAGAAGTCCTAGCTGGGGAGGAGGAGGACTTTGTTGGTTTGTGTCAGCCATCTTTGGGAGTGTGTGTGTTGCTCTATTCGGGGAAAACATTACATCATGAAGCAATTTGACAAGTCATACCAACAGGAGTCACAAGTAACTACTTAAAACCTTTCCTACGCTGCAACTAAAGATTGTTCTCTTAGACGATTACCTTTCCGTCAGGACATATTCAATTTGATTGTTTGTCTGAGAAAAGGTTAAAATCCTTAAGATAACCAGACTATCATACTTGACAAAGAGAAGCACCACCTCCTCACAGTTAGGAAGCTGGAATCAGTAAACTTAAAACAATGACTGAAAGAATTCCTCTTCAAAATAGTTTACGATCACTTTTCTGTCAATAAACAAATCATTTTAAATATATATTTATGGCAGAGGTGAAATATACATTGACTCAAGTACATTACTGTAGTTTACTTGAGTCTTTTCTATCTACTTTTACTCCAATAACTGCATTTCAGAGCAGAATATTGTTTATTACACTTCACTAGATTTACTTGACAGCTTTAATATTTACTTTAGCAATCAACATTGTTATATACAAAACACATGAACGGTTACTATATAAGCGAATGGACTATTATGTGTATAATATTGTTGGGGCTATAACGCTAGCTCGGTTAAGCTAGCACAACTAGCCTTGGCTTGTTTGGGTGAGTAATGACTTAACGTTACTTAAAATAAACGGAGGACTGTTGCAAACCGGATCAATACAGACCAACGTCTGTAAACAGTCAGTTAAGACGTCTGTCGGTGGTTTATTAATACTAACGCGACGCCAGCTAACGTTAGCAGGTGCCTCTAGAATATTCTCCGTTACCATCGTTACTAGCATTCGAGCTAAACCCTCCGCTAACGTTAGCTATTACCTCGCGACGTTTACTAACGTAAAATACCATTTACTAGCGTAAAATCTCTAAAAGGAGAGACAGACTGAATACTCCTGTTTGATAGTTTATATATATACAACGTTACAGTGAGAACAATAGACACAGCTTACCAGCGTTATAGCGTCGAACAGTTACGTTGTGTGCTAGCTTAAGAGTGACAGGCTGCTTGTTCACCACACTGAATGAAGTAAATGATCAGCTGACCTTCTGAGAGCGTGCATAGGGAGCGAGGAGGAAAAGAGAAAGTGACTCTCGCGAGATTTGAGAACGAGAGTTCCTGGATCGTTTTCTTGGATCATTGGGCCCTCTAGTGGAAAAACAAATGAACTGCAACAAGACGTCCCCTATTTTTGCTCTAATTATACAAATTACACTATAATATGTAAATTGAGCAAAAACTATATTTAAATATCATGTATTATTGTCACAAGTAAGTCCAAGAGGGCTGTATTTACTAAACCATTTACTCTATCTATATAAAGAGCGTATTACCTGTCCTCTCTTCATTCCAGCACTCTTTGCACTTTTGCACTTTTTGTAACTCTGTATACTCAGTTTAGTAACAGTTTGACTTGTAAACAGTCATGTATTTTGTTGTCCCTTTGTTGTTTGTAAAGTTTATATGTATCTATTTTTCACCTAGTTGCATGGACACTGTTAGTAGTTTGTTTGCTTGTCCCTGTTTAGCTTTGTTTTGAAGAGACAAGAATACAATGTACGGTATAAAGGTGTAGACAAACACAATTCAAACACACAGCAGACAGATTAGTTCCTCGTTTAAGAAAACAACACAAGTGGGATTCAGAATTTAAACTAAATCCATAAACTAGCCACCGCAGAAATTAAGAATGCATCTTTAGTTTGTTTTTAAATCTTTATTTATTTATAGAACGTATATAAGGAACAGAATATACTTATATTATTGTTACATTGTGCTGTATAGGCAAACATGCGATTTAAAGATATGTGGTAGAGATTGGCTTGTTTTCTTTATTATAATGGAAGCTTAAAAAAGACAAGACACTTCTTTCAGGTATCACATAACTACACAGTTATAAGTCCTCATCAGCTTGAATTAAGATGGTGTTATTGCACTAAAGGCATTGTTAAGATCTACAGAGCTACACTTATGCTATAGTGTTCAGTATCTCATGTGCATCACATCTAAAGATGCGCAGAACAAGGAAAAAGCTTCAGTGTGCGCCTGCGCAATGGACACCGCGTCAATTTTAGAGAACAAACTGACTCTTTTCTTTTTAGGTTTGGCACCAATCGAGAACTATACTGCGTGAATAAAGATAATTTGGCTTTCGGGTATTTTATTAGAAAATCAAAATAACAGATTTGTCGAATATCCAAATAATGTCATGCCTCAATGGTGAATATAAATGTTATTTTGCAGGCTACCACCAGAGGGCACACTCGACCAGACTATCATGTTCCTGCAGGTTTGCCTGTAGCCTGCGTCGGATGATTATTTTAGCTTTAAGTGCACCTTATTTGGTCGCAACATGTTTTAAAATCTTACATCTGACTGCAGCTGTAGCGCATACATCCGCAGATTATTGGCACGAGTGTCGCAGGATGATGTGTTTGCTGTAGATGCCATTTGAAAATATAGGCAGTGTAAGCACTGTAGAATCTAATTATTTCTTTGCAAAACCTAATTAGGCATTAAAAAAGGTTAACGCCAGCGCCTGAAACGTTTTTGTTTAATAATCCCATTACTGACGGCTCATCATGTATAAAATGGTGCAGCAGGACACTAAGTTTCCACTTGTTAAAGGGAATCTCTGAGAAATAGTCGCAGATTTTTTGACACTATCTGCGATTGGGAATTAGGGCTTGTAATTAAACTGCGGAGACTCAACTCAGCACACAGAGTAAGTAAGGCTGCAGCGTCCTGCCTTGCATGCATTTTCTATTATTAACTGATGATTCTGCCTGCTGCAAAAACATTGTCTCTATTTTCTGTTTGCTTGTTTTTGTTCTTTACAATGTCGTCTAATTCATCGGGCATTACTCAGCAAACAGGTAGCGCACAGTGAGAATAGAGCTTGATGGTTTGTTTTTTTAGGCGTCAGCTCTTCTCGAACCATTACCAGTCACTAGAGAGATCACGGTGAGAATTTAAATGAGACATTTTCTGCGGGAGTTTTAATTTGACCGAGCTTCTGAGAAGACTGTGAGATCCCGAGACACGTTTCTAGACAGAGAAATGTGTCCGGAAATACCAAAGAATGAATATGTATCGCAGATATTAAAGGGACGTTACATTGGTGCAGAATAGTCGTCGAGGAGCGTCAGAGACACACAGCCTATAAACGTAGGTATATCATGCGAACACTCCTGATATGCATTAGCTTTTAGGAAATAAAATAAAATCCTGTTTTTGGTTTTCTGAAAATGAAACTAAATATTTAAATAATGACGACGATACAGCCTTTTATAAAACAAGATACAGGGTTGAACATGCTATTGAAAGGAGAATCCACTTGAGGTAAATTGTTCTTCAGGTTTTTCTTCAGACATCATTTTGAGATTTTCCTATTTTCTCGGTCAAGTTCTACAACAAAGACATGCTACTACATCCTATATGATAAATATATATATATTAGAAACACAATAAATAAACACCATAATCGAAAACACAATTAAAAGCATAATTATGGGTTATTTTCGGAAAAAAATTAAATGAAATCAAAGTCAGAAAATTATTTTGTAGACTATTATTATTATCAGCATTATAATACTAATAACAACGATGGTGTTATTATTCTGAACATTTTTGTTATTATTTTATTATTATTATGTTATAATTATTCGTATTATTATAATATATAATGGAAATATTGAAGACTGTTACGACTATATACACAGCAAAAAAAACAACTATTGCGGTAATAATAGGCCTAATAATAACATCAATATATTTAGTGATCCTCGCTTTCTCTACGAGAACGAAACGATTATCAACCTGCGCTCACTTCATTCTACATTTTATTTCATCCTTTCCTTCAAAGCTCGCGGGAGAAAGAAAGAAAAGAATAGAGAGTGAGTGACGGACCGAAGTGAAAGCTTTCTAAAAGAAATAAACCTTCGTGTACTCAAAGGAATGCGCTTGTAATCACTCTATCTCAGTCTCTGGCTCCATTCGGCCCAAAACAAACAGGGTGTGGTAGAAGGGACGAAAATCGGGGACAAGCGAGGAAGACGACGGGAAGAAAGAGCTGGTTTGATGGGGAGGAAAAGAAGGACACGGTGCATTTCCCTCGAACTGGTAAAAGAAACAATGAAGCGAGTTATCAACAGGCTTCTCTGCCTTTTATCTCTCTGTCGCCCGATCTGAGAAGGCGTTTCACACCATTATCTCATGATGGGAATGAATTCCCCTGTAAAGCTCTCTCTTACAATGGAGGCCTCCAAAATGTTAAAAAACAAACAATTTGAAATACTCGCTCCATATAAACACCTTCATCACTAAAACTGCAGGAGAACCTGTAAGATGATCTCTCCTCTTTAAGTGTCACATTATGGAGGTCAAGGCTCTCGCTTTATTGCTGCAGCTCATTAGTTAATTTGGTTGTTTACCTAATGTATTCCCTTTTTTTATTTGGGAAGATTACAACCAGTTTGTTTGATACAAATATGTTGACATCCAATATTTGCAACAAAAGAGAAAAGCAGGGTGTTGCTTCAGAAGATGTGAAGCTTCAGAGGCTCAAGATAAACAAACATGCTCCTCTGCTTTTCTTCGGATCATGCAGCATATGTGCTCAAATGAAAAAAAAAATATATATACATGTTGAATTTTGGTGTTTGGTCATCCTGTGGGAGATTGACATCCAAATTGTTCCACCTTGATTTGAGGAAAACATAACACCCTTTTTTGGGGGAGAACATCTTTGTTTTCTTGCAGGATTTGAGCAGGGACCAGATTCAGGCTTTACTCTCGGCCTCTTAGCTTTCATCATGAGCTTTTCTTTGTTTTCCTTACAAAGAAGGCTGCGGTTTATGAAGCGTCTGATGCCGCTACATTTCCTCTCTTTCTTACTCAAGGTCTTCACTGTGTGCTAGAACTCAGAACTCCTTTTATATAAATCTCTTGTCTCTGCATGTGTGCAAAGATGAAACCTTCACTGAAATCCTGTTTCTGATTCATGCAACTATCACAGAAATGAAATCAGGAAAAAAAGGAAATGAGCTTTCTGCAGGTTTTAAATAAAGTTTAAAACCATTGTGTTTGTATTGCTATCTTAAATGCATTTTCAGAAAAAGAGCAGCCTTGTGCTTATCTTTAAATGATTTCATATTTTAAAAATAATATTACTAACAATGTAATACACATAACAAATGTAATCAATATTCCTAGAGGGGATATATCTGCACAATCTCTTTTTTAAATTTAGTGTTTGGTCTAAAAACAGCACTTTCTTTAAGGGCTGGAGGGAGTCCGATGCCCACAATGGGCCTTGAGCCAAAACCTATTGACATAGAAAGCAAAGGGAATCCACCAGAAAGCTGACTTTTCCCTTTTTTGGGAGTAAAGCTATGTTTGTTTCTGGGTTGAATGGGGTTCTATAATGGAACCGATGGCATCAGGATTGTCACCACAAATGGTCTGGGCGTTTTGCAAGGCTGCTTGACAGAGCCTATTATGTCATTGGTCACGTCCCCTCCACTCCTTGCTCGCTTGGGCCTGAATGGGAGTGAATTAATCAAACAGTTTGAGAGAGATCAGCCAACTTAATGCACTTTGTGTCAAGGTCTACAGCGATCCGAGACCCCCCGGCCTCCCCTCATACCTGCATTTGAACACATCCACGTCTGAGCTGCAACCAGACTGAAAAACACTCAGAACTGAAGTGATTGTGACCTTTTATTCAATGGATTCTTAAAAATATCTCCAAAAATGATCACTTTAACATTCCTACAGGGACTTGTGGTGTTTCAATATGAGTTTACACTGGAATGAGTATGTGACAATTATCATCCTTGGATATATAGGAGAAATAGTTTAATAGTCTGATTTTTTTGATGATCTTTAGAGGACTGTGAAGGACATACAACATAACATAGTCTGCAGATTTCACATCAACATAAATTGATTATTTAAATGGTGGGATTATAATCATTCAATTAGCAGATTTAATTCATCCCAAATAATTGACGGATTTCAAGCCAATAGCAGCCCATTTT